TAATGTCTATCTTTCCGCGGAGCTTGTTCAGCTGCTCCGGTTCATCGGTGAGGAAGTGGGCGGGGATAAACGAGACAGCCTTCATCCGATCGTCATCGTTGAACAGTTCGTAACCTAAGTGCCACAACTCCGGGCTAAGATCGAGGGCCCACACTTGAGACGGAGAGACACCATTCGCGGCGAGCAGACGCAGGTTCTGACCTAGCCCCGTGCCAAGATCGATGATGGTCGTGCTTGGTTGGAGGGCGCGATCGATGACAGCAGGGAATTGGGGGAACTTGGCAATGCCAGGGAGTAGGAACATCCACTGGCCTACGCATGGGTATTCGCCGTATTGCCACGCTTTGTCGCGCTGTGATTGTTAGCAGTGCTGACCATCATGTGGATACCTAGGCAGACATACCACAGCGTGAAGATGGGCGTCAAGCTGATCCTCGCTTATACCGCTCCATTGGGAGAAAATGTCCCGCATGGGCTGGCTGAGGCGAGGGCCAATATCTGCTTTGTACCAGACTGATGTGTCGATCTCGGCCATAGTTTTTGAGTTTCTCTTCCGGCTTGATGAGAGCGCTATGGATGCAAATGGTGCTCTAAGGTAAATTGAAGATGGAGATGAGATTTCTCCTCCTTGAAGAGGGGCCAAAGCCAGTATCTATACCAAGCAGCATATATCACGTGCCATAAGCACAATGGAAAGACATAAAAGCTGTTCCAGCATTGTATCTCTTGATTCACTGATCTAGCTAGCAGAGTAGGAGGACAAAATATGGAGCAGACGCCATACTAGAGCGACGATCTCTTCTGGGCCACGCAAACCACCCTCGGCATAGACAAATGGAATCCCCGTCGCGATTCTTCAGCGAGCCCCATAATCATGTCATGAATACGAGACGCCTCCTCCACCTTTCCTGCAGACTTCAGCCGAGCTGCGAATTCCTCTAGCACGAGAATATACTGGTCCCCATTCGCCTTGCAGAGTTCTGGCCGATCCCTAAAATGAAACAGCTCGGCATTGACGAATCCACCATGCCCCTCCATCAACGACTGTGGCAGATCCAACACCCAATCATTACGCCCATTGGACTGGGCAAATTGCACGAAGGCGTCGCACGCTGGGGTGGGCTGGTTGCCTTGCTGTGCTGTGGGTGGCTTGGCCACGATCGTATCGGGATAGTTCAGGTCGTCCCACTGGATGTATCCACCTGGCTTCAGGAGCTGAAAAACTTTATCGATGATGGGGAAGGGGTTGCTCTCCTGCACGACCAGAACGAGAAGGCGTAGGTGGACTACGTCGTATTTTCCGCGCAGGTCGTCAGAGACTTCGTCGAAGATGTTCCATTGGCGAAGACTGATGGAGGGCGCCACCCATTCGGGAACAGGGGCGTTTTTCAGGTCCACGTCCAGACCGTCCAGCTGCAGAGTATATGGCGCCATGGCTGGGTCCCGCATAAGGTCACAGAGCCAGATTGCGGTGCCTGTGGCTAGATCGGCGATTCTGACGGTCTCACCGGCAGGGCCGAGGTCGATAGAGGGGTGGAGGTTGAACTGGAATGATTCTTTCCACAGGTAGAATTGGAGGTTGAGGCGTGAGGCTGCTGTGTAGTTTCGATCCAGCATGTAGTCGAGCTCGTTGCCCATGTTGAAGCCGGATCTCATAGTTTCGTGTTCCATTGTCGGCAGAGTGTAACTTGTAACTGGTCAGGCAAAGTGCAAACTGGGCTCAAGCAGTGGACCTGAGACTGCATGGGATCATCCGATTTATACCTTTCGTATACAGGTCACTGAGAATCCACTATAATACGTAGCAAACTCAGATGCTTCAGCTCATGTCTCCGCTAGATAGGTATGTGCTGGCATCGATCCACCCAGCTGAAGATCTGTGGCGTAGCAGAGGACGCTTTCTCTCAAGATACACAGGTCTTCTGTCTATAAATACTCGTATCGCAAGGGTTCAACATGCCTCTATCATCAACCACCATTCTCTTCAATTCTCAACATGACTATCCAAACTGTTCGACTTGGCCTTGCCGTTGGCCATGGCACCGGCCGTGAATTGGTCGCCGTCTTTGAACGGGTCATTCAGACACTGGCCAAACAATACTCGGTCAATTTTGAATTTGTTCGCTCTTCTTCTACCTACCACTCCTATCACACCCTCACTGTCTCCGGCGAGGACAAAAACTTGATCACGCACATTGCAGATGAAACCACCAAGGATGCAATTGACTACCAGCAATTCTGCGAGAATGCTGCTGGCTCTGGCATCGCGGCAATCTTCCGCACCGCCATCCACGCCCAATCGCTCTACCTGGTCCGGCAACACCTCCAAGCGGCCAAGGTGGAGCACTTTAGCCTCGGCGACGGCAACGCCCTTCTCATGGTCCGCGATGAAGCACAGGGCTTCTACGCTGGCGACAACACATACAGCGCCGACCAGCTTAGCATCACACGAACCACTAGCTTCAGCAAGCCCGTTTTCGACCGCATCATCCGCTTTGCACTCGACAGGGCGGCCGAAAACTGGGGTCCCGAGAACGTCCCCAAGAAGGTGACCATGGCATACAAGTTCCACCTCTTTGATGGCGTGTTCCAAGCTTGGGAACCCCAATGGAAGGCCCAGTTCGGCATCGACTTCGATTTTATTCAGCCTGACACGCTCAATCGCAGCTTAATGGCAAATGGAGTCCAGGGCCGTTGCATCATCATTGCAGGCAACGAATACGCAGATGTCATCCAGCCCGTCTTCCTCAACTGGTTCGGTCAATCGACTCCCGAGACCATGTACGCTGAGAACGTCTACCTGCGTCCAGACGTGAACGGCCTCAGCGAGTACCAAACTGTCCATGGGTCTGCCGATGCCATCGCTGATAAGGGCCTCGTCAACCCATTCGCTACCATTCGTGCCGCAGCCGCCATCCTGGAGCGACACGCTGGGGGCAAAGGTATCCAGAAGCTGACAGAGCAGGCTATTCAAAGCCTCCTCCAGCGCAAACTCACTACCCCCGACCAAGGTGGTTCATTGAAGACTGAGGAAACAGTCGATCACTTCCTCCAAGCCATCGCAAACCCCACACAATCTATCCCATCCACCGCCACCACCACCGCCTCCGGCGACCTCCAAGCCTTCCTTGGCCTCAAATCCGCCCTGGTAGTCATCGACTTCCAGAACGACTTCATCTCCGGAAACCCCAGTCCTGCCATGGCAGGCGTCGTCAACAACGTCCCTCGCGCGGTCGACTTCGCCCGCGCAAACAACCGCCCCGTCATTTTCGTCCGATTCCTCGGAAACACCACCTACCAAAGCCCCAGCTGGAAACATCGGGACGCCATTCTCCAGAAACCCGAGAAGTGCGTCGAGGGGACGTGGGGTGCGGAGTTTGGTCCTGGGGTGAAGGTTCAGCCTGGCGAGCGCGTCTTTGACAAGAAGGCATTGCTGGATCCGTTCCTGGTCCCGGAGTTCACAGCGTATTTGGAAGAACAGGGCTTCGAGCATCTTGTTCTAGCGGGGTTGTTCTCAGATGTTTGTATTGATTCGACTGCGAGAACCGCGTTCCAGAAGGGGTTGAGGGTTACGGTTGTGGAGGATTGCACGACTGCTCTTCATTCGAAGCAGGCTGATCATTTGCAGTTTATGGCCAAGCTCTACGGAGCCAGAGTGTCGAAGCTGACGGAGCTAGTTGGGATGGCTGTGTGAGGAATTTTTTTTCTTTACTCTGTGTGGAAAGAACATATTTCATACACTTAGATAACCATTCGTCTATAACGTCTTAGATTATCAATAGATAACGAAGAAAGTAGTCTCGAAGTGTTGGTATTCAAGGATGTACATAGCTAATCAGCTTCAAGAGTGAAGCGGTAAACAGAGGTAGGCCGCACTGGAGTTCCTTGGCGAGTATGTAGTTGTTTCTAAAATCCTCAACATACTGGCGCGCAGTTGAATAATCGCCACGCGTCTTTCTGACTAGATTGTACACGACGCTCTGACGTCCCACGATGCCGTGCCCTAGTACGATCTTTTTGATCACCTTGTATGCTTCATCAACAAAGTCTTTATCGTCGACGGATGGCACAAATTCCTCCATGAGTTCACCAGTTATCTGCCTAGTCAGCCATGTCTGCAGGCATTTCGAGCATCTATGCCATTCGCGTAATTTCTGTGGTCTTTCTTCGGATGTGGAAGGTCAAGATCGATAAGGTCCTGTAATCCAATATCTTCAAGTATTTTTCGGACCTGAAAGTCCCAGTTTGGGAAGTTTGAGCATCCTTTCAGTAGGAATAGCACTCCAGGAATAGACTCGGGTAGATCATCATGTATTCTGTCCGCTTGTGTGGTCCCCTTTGGGAGACCTATTGTGATACGCAATAAATTCCTGAAGGAGACCGCGCGTCCCTGATGAAAGGCCATTTTGATGTAGGTCGACTAATCGGAGCGCTGAAAGTGGGTATAGATTGTGGGTGATGCTTTCTTAGCACCTCTGCGTGTTCGTATCTGGTAGAATTTGGTCAACACCAACAACGGCGCGTCCCTGTTCACCACCTTGATTTTGGTGGCCCTAGGCTCTCCGCCTTATTTGGCGTCAGTTCGTGCTTTTCAGGTCTGGATAGCTTCGCAGATCGAGGCAACGAACAGTGACTGGTTTAATTGTATGTATGATTGATCTAGATGGTCAAGATGTTGATGTTGAGAATGGCGAGAGGCCGAATAAGCAGCAGAGCCAGCGAAAGATCTGGTGGGGTCTGGCTACAGTGAATGTCTAGAGCTTGAGAAAAGATTCCACTTCACCCATAAATCCACATTATATGTGTGGAACCCCAATGTGGGCCATAGCAGTGAAAGCTCCAGCACGAGAGTGGCGGAGACCACAACGAGATGCGCAGGTTGGACTTGGTTGGATAAAAGCTATGAATTCTATCAGGAATAATAAACCATATAGTCTAGCTACTAGCTTTTGTAATTTTGCAGGGCCCGGGATCAAATATAGTTGCTTTTACTCGACAATCTAGAAGAAAACCTCCCAGACCATGTGCGATTTCGCTCGGAGTATGTCCACCTCTGCTGCACCTTCACTCAAAGAAGGAATATCTTCCACATATTGTTTTACCTCTGCTCTATCATTCGCTTTCAGTCGGAGAACCTGTCCAATTTGGCTAGTTAGCCTTTTAGGTTTACAGTACAGCGCTCCCAGTCAGCTCACCTTTCCTTGCTGTGGATGGACCACATCAAATACCTCTTCCGCTATTCCTCCTGTCCCAGACAAAAAGCCATCAGTCATTCGGTGGACCATGAGAAGAAAAAGAGAATGTAGCTCTTTTACATATATCTTGGTACTTACCTTTCCAAAGCTTCACGCAGTGCAATGCATCTCTCTCCCCAAACATCGTATCATAGGACGATGCATCCCTTGCAACAATAATAACATACCATGTCACACACGGATCCGTGGAAAATGGCTGCAGGCGTTGCACTGGCTCACAGTCAAGATACTTCCCTCCTTGTTGGAAAAGCTTTGACACCGAGGTGAAATTTCCAATGGGAATGACCTTGGCATCAGAAAACCCATGTCTAATCCACGGAACCTCTTGCTTGATGGACTCGGCCCGTTCTGGGCTTTCAATGCCTCTCCAATGTACGACCGCCCCGTTGACCTTGTTTTCCTCATCGGTTATCGAGGGGAAGAATCGAGTGGTTTCTCCACTTCTGGTCGAAGCCCAGGCAAATTCAGACTCTTGTCGAAGTAAGGCTGGTGGGGCGTCGTCAAGGGTCTTCCCTTCCTTAAAAATGTCGTAGAATAGATAGTCCATTTTGGCAGGATATATGATGTTGGTCCGATGAGGTCTGGAGTCTAAGCGGGGGATAGAAGAACATGAGAGCGAGAGTTTCTTGGTCACGGACTCTCGTTTGCAGCGTGTCACTTCACTGTTCGTCAGATGGAGGTTATCTTGATATACACCCGTCCGTCCTCCGCGGCGCTCCCAACATGATGCGATCGAAACTGGGGCCGGTGGGGGATCGGCAATCAGCCCTATGCCGAGCCGGCGGGGTGCATGTGCTCTGAAGGACTAGTAGTAGAATTCAAGGATCTTCCTCAAATCTTGAGCCGAGTTATTGATGTTATTGATCCCGACGGGGCCGAGGGGGCCGATGGGGCAACAATAATCTTGCAGTAGGCGTTACAGAACAAATAGTAGGTGTCAATGCACGAATGCAGATCTCCTCGAGCCTGGTGTACAAGAACCTGCTAGAGTCAAGACTTCTTGCTAGGTTTCGCATAGCCTGGCAACTCTGGGCGTAGTCCGGGATGTGGAGACCAAATTAAAATGCATACATAAATTCTCGAGCTGCTCATTTACTTCGGCTCTGCCAAATCAGAAACGGCTACTACTACATCAAGATGCACAGTGTCGCCGGTTCTCCTGACGACCCAAAGGTATCCTCCATTTTCTCTGTAAAACTGTCTTCCATTGTAAGTACTGAGTACTAAGAAGCAATAGTGTTGGAGTACTCGACTCCGCTGCGCTATCCTGATGAACATTTGCGCCTATGTCTTCATTGGGAATCTGTATGCAGCAGGTCTCGCCACTGGCTTTGCTCCACTGGCTCATGACCTCGGCGTTGAATTCGACACGCTTACTGGCCTTGTCGCCTGGGCTGTATCTGCACTCGGAATCTCGAATCTCTTTTGGATGCCGACCGCAATGTGCATCGGTAAGCGGCCGGTAATATTGATCTCCATGATAGTCTTCCTGGCTGGATGCACATGGAGCATCAAAGCAACTGGTTTCAGAGATCTGCTAGCTTCCAGAATCGTGGCTTCATTTGGTGCGTAGTACCTATCGTTACTGCTATATAACGCGTGAGCTCCCCTTGATTGGTGATCTAGGGGCTGGGTCTATCGAGGCTCTTGGGCCATCCGTTATCGCCGGTAAGTGAGTACGGCTTGACTAATCTTTAGTCGATTGACATGTTACTTATGTATCCTTGTATCATACAGATCTCTTTTCGGAGCGGTACTTTGCAACCGCCATGGCTCTCTTCGCCTTGTCGCTTTGTGCTGGATCTCAAATCGGTCCCATGATAGCCGGCTTTGTTATCGGCAGCAAGGGCTGGAGATGGTTTTTTATTGTTTGCGCCATCCTTGGTGCAGTCAACTTCTTGGCTTCGGTCCTTTTTTTGCCTGAAACAACCTTTCGACATAGTTTGACCGAAGATGGGAATGTTCATGCCGCTGAATTCGAAAAGGAAGCGAAACAAAGGACTGAACACAGAGAAAATGAAACCTCACCCAGAAGTTACTGGGAAGACCTGATATCAATTAGAGATCGCGGTCTCGAGCCTGAGGGACTCAAATGCTGGCCTGGGCAATTTTCCCTCCCATTCCGGTTCATTTGTGTCCCTATTGTTTTGTTTGCGACAATCGCCTATGGCATCTTTCTTTCTGGGTTAGTGGATTTATACTGCTGCTCTTACTCCCTCCTCTTCCTCCTTTTACTTCCCTGGTGCTGCCATTTGTCCTACCTATTACACAAATGATTTTTACAGTAGTAGTAGTAGCAGCTACTACTAGTACTCACCCCTACTGATATCCATATACTACACTATACAAGCTGACTGGCAAGTACCATCCCAGAATCGTCCTCATCTCCGCCATCAGCCCCCAATTCCTCTCAGCACCACCATACCACCTATCCTCATCAGCAATCGGTGTATACACACTCTCCTCCTTCCTCGGTATCGTGATAGGATATCCCATCGCCGGCCCCTTAACCGACCTCCTCTCCAGATGGGCTGCCGCCAGAAGATACACCACCAATAACACCCATCACCCAAAAGACCGCATGCCCGCACTCATCATCCCCTTCCTAGTCGCACCACCAGGCTTAATCCTCTTTGCGTATGCAATCGCAAGCAGTAAATCCTTGTACGTCTCTGCCACCGGCTATGCCATGCAAGCGTCAGCCTTAGTCTTCGTTCCTTCAGTCACCATGTCTTATATCATGGATGTGTATCCGCAGTCAGGAAGCGAGGCAATAGTACTTATTAATGCGGGTAAAAATGTGGTTGCGTTCGGAGTGACGGTCTCTGGTGCTGATTGGGTGGATCGTGATGGCATCGTCCGGGTTTGTTGGGAGTTGGCTGCTGTGCAGTGGGTGGTTTTGGCGTTGGCTCTGCCGCTGTATGTCTTTGATTCTGCTGTGAGACGGTTTGCGGGGCGGTTTGTGTAGTGTACTACATGTTAGTGATCTGTTTTTCTTTCTTTCCTTAAGTTGACTAAGTTGACAATATTTAGTTATGTAGATTCTGAAGTGAGCACCGAGTCTTCTTTCGCGTAGTATAGCATATATTCTGTTTCTATCTATCTCGATTAATGTACTTAATTTGGCAAAGCCAGTATCGTGAGTGATTTCCCCCCTCCCCACTTCACGAACCAGTCATATCCTATATTTAATTCAATTTAGTGCAAGAGACGCAGCTCAGCTGCGGGGCCGATTCAAGGATCAGGAGGTGGGTTTACTTGTTTACTTCCCCTGTGATTGACTGCCACATCCTAAGTATCTGCAAGACATACTCGCAACGTGGTCTGGTCTGGACCCCCATACGCCCCGCATGACTGTTGATCTTGCTTGACACCAGTATGCACTTCGTCTAGTAGGCTCGGAGTTTAGGACTTTAGGTGCCTCTTAAGCTTTCAGGGAGAGAATATCATGTCGGGGGAGGTGCGGCTGAGCCCGCTCATGTGCCAGCCATGGTGGTAGGGGGGGGGTTCTAATGGGTTAGTATGTAAATTTGGTAGGTCTGAAAAACAGGTAGCAGGATCTTCCTGTGGCTGCTGGGGAAGCTATTTCTCCGATGAACTGTTTGACTTGTGTTTTCGGAAACATAATCCTGGGACGATTTCTGCCGTCACTAGGCAAAAATACCACACGTGTTGGATGTACAATCCGCCGGTGATATCGGAGACTGTGGATGATCATCGGGGAATAACTCCGCGAAGCCGAATGTATGGTCTTTGCTCCGGGGTGTTTCTTAAAATCCCATTGTTGTTGAAGCCTATGGCAAGCACACTCAGTATGTCCCAAAGGAGATCCCATGACGTTCCTGATATTGATGGCCGTGCTTGGTGGCTCTGTAACCCGAGTTTCCGAGACATGGAGGACGAAGAGGATCGGAAATCTCGATGAAATGAGATGACATCATCGCGCATTCAAGCCTAGCTTTGGCCTCCACGGCTTAGCTTGGTTGTATCTATTGTAAGTTAGTGCCTGGATGGTTGATTCGGTGGCTCATCCTTGGCTATTGTGCGCCGATGATCTGCCATGGTACTGCCCAAGGTAGGTAGGTGTATCGCATGAGCAGCTTGCGCTAGTAGCTGGTGCGCTAACGTATAATGGGCGAATTCACAAGCCGTACGTATATGTTTGGTCTGTGTTTTAGCTTCGTGACCTGTGTACGAACCTTGGGCTGTGCTCATTACCCCGGATTCTAGATCGACTTGATTGCGGTGTCGCCTGAAATCCACGAGGGGGGTCTTCGGACTACAAACACATCCTCGGTTGCGCTGAAAGCGGACATCCAACTTGAATTCTAGTTAGTCAGTAAATCTCCAGTTTGACTCACAGTATCCATTTGTGAGGGGGACAAAAATCCCGCGCTGTCGAGCCAAGACCACCAGCCTGATCCAAGCGCCGAAGCACGCGCCAAAGAACTCAATCCGTTCTAGCAGCCCCACCAATTGTCTCTGCTTTCAGTGCTTTGTGCTTGTTGGGGAATTATTCGACACGCAAAGAAAAACCAACTAGTTTATATGGGTAAGAAAACAAATATTGGTCCTGGAACATCCGAAAGTTTCCCGAGCCACTTACATCCACCAATTTGCGTTCCAATTAGAGCGAGCCACAGTAAAATGCTCAAGGACCAGTAGACGCTTTGGCTTCTCGTGGCAGGGCTCCCTCATGGGTTGTCGCATGTGGCTATAGATTGGTGCAGGTGGTTGTGAAAATATCAAGGTAGCATGACTTTCTACGCGTCGCGCTAGAGCGTGAATAAATGTCCACAATGTAGTATTCGGTTAAGACTGCCTTGGCTCCCTGGTACCATCATATTGGTATTATTGATATTCTTGGGCGACAGCTATAGCAAATGAGTAGTGCATTTCTTCCGTGCATATCTACGCAGTAGTTTATCCTGGTTCCAGCTGACCGGGATCAATTAGTCACCTCGTTTGGTGTAACATGACTCTGCCATACTTTTGGAAATCATGTTTCGCATTCGAGAAATCGTGATGGGATGTCAGGTAAGCTGGTCGTGTCTGTCAGATGAGCGCCAAAGATAGCTTAGATTCTAGTTATCTTGCCATGTGAATCGGTGCGGGTGTCAGAACACCACGAGGCGATCTACTATCGACCAAGAAAGGAAAGCAGCAAGGCGCTGTCATGTCGGTCCACGAATAAGGCAAGGTAAGCGACGGGTGAGCACTGGGAAGATGCAGAGAGTGGTACTCGGTACAAGAGATGCATTGGACGACTCTGGATGCACATGAGGTAGGGGAATTCCTGCCTATGGGGATTGATTATGCGCCCCCTCTCCAGCCCGATGAAAAGCGCGGGATGTCCAGAACTGGTAAGCCGTAGGGGAACCTGGAGACACGCTCGGCCACAACCGAAGAGCCTGACTGCGGGGGGGAGACCGAGCGCGGTTTCACGGATGATGGAGATTGCTACAACTGATGGATAAAATGGCCTGGTCTATCTTGGCAACTAACTTGAGCCGGTTTAGTGGTTAGACGCTAAGCCGCCCGAGGGACGCCAGCAAGGAGTATGGGTTGCCACCCTTGGGCCAGTGAGGTGCCCGGCTTGCGTCGCGCGCTTTTTCCCTCAGTCGGCCGGCGAGCTGAATGGTTATTCATTAGTACTTTGGGGTACCCCGTACCCGTCTACCCTGTCTGGTAATCTCCAGGGCTACGTACTATGGGACGGGCGCAGGGCACCCTCCCTGAAGGCAGCCTAATCGTCCCCACCAGACTGCTCCTCCGGATAAGCATCTGACATCCCACATCTTCACCCGTCGAGCGGGTAGCACCTTCCAGAACATTTGGGGTCAATGGCTCGAACATTGCAGGGAAAAGCAGCTGTAGCATAGTGCATCCATGCATCAAGCCGTGGCCGTCCTCTGGGGCCGATGTTTTCGGTGACCTTCGGCCAGGCCTCGGCCAGCGCATATCTGCCGTGATTAAGGTTAGTCCCAACCCCGGCGGGACTTCGGCCTGTATCAGACATCGTGGTCGGTGTTGAGGTCGGTGTAACTGCACACTCTCCCGGCGGCCTTCCTTATTGTCAAACCGACATGATGACTGCATGGTCGCAACTATCTGGTTGGTCCATCTGTAAGCCTGTAGCAAATAATACCTTCATCAGACGACTCAGAGTGACCTAGGGAGGTTCCTGGGAGGCACCAGGAAGCGGCTTGTTGAGCGAAGTGGAGCTTAATCGAACCGAATACCGACCGTGATTGGAGGAGACGGGCTCTTAGCGAGTGTAACCGCATGCACAAGGCCGATATTCATTTGATGCTCTCCCACGGAATCCCCGACTGCGCGGAGGGGGAAAGGTTTGGTCGGCATCAGACCAAGCTGACCAATTTGGAGACTAGGCGCCCCATCGACGAGAATATTACGGGACAAGACGAGACGGTCGCCCGCAGGAGTCTCGGTCGAGGAGGAAGAGTACCTTACCGCGGCGAGCAAATCCCTATATGGGCCAAGAAAAGCACATATGGGAGCTAATGGTTTTCTGCATATTCAGTTAATCTTATTGTCCTTCTCCTGAGAAACGATGTCGCTAGCTCAGCTGTGCCACACAACAATACTTTCAAGCAATCAAGCAAGGAGGACGCGATAGCAAACGCCCACGAGGCGGATAGAGCCGGGGAATGTCCTTACTGGAAGCGGTAAAGCGGTCGGTCCCTCTGTGCGGAGTCTCCAAAAACCCCGGATTCTGAATAATCAGCCCGGATCTCTCTTTCTTCCTCATATCAACGGAAAGGGTCCACGGGGACCGGACGACACCCGACACACGACGGCATGACACGGTAACATACCTCGCGATTAGCTATTCCGTCGAATGAGCAAAGAATATGACGATTAGATTCAGCGCACTCTGCCTACGATCCTTTCCGTTTTCCTTGATTTCGCCCACGCGAAAAGCCACGCGAACTGGCCGATGACGATGACTGCAAACGCCCAGATCGCAGTTAGCCGCCCCGGAGGCTCACATTCCTGCTAGCCGTCCGCAATCCACCCGCCTACCCAACGGACAATTTAATATTAACATACGCTTTATGGAAAACTACGCGATAATCACTGTATGATTCCTTTTAAGTTCCAAGCAGTGGACAATAACCAGAGAAAATAAAAAATGAATTGCCAAGTACCAAACAGTATATCAATCTCGGTTGGCTCACATCCGAGCTGGTCCAACCGCGGGTTGAAACACTCACCATGAAGCGACCGCTGTGCTCGGTTTCTCCAGAAACGGCTAGTCCCCTGCTCATCCCGACACCCATGACGGCATAGAGGAGGCCTCCGACCGTTGGGTGGAAACTGCTTACTCTTAGTATAATGATACCCATGTACTTCGAGTTAATCGGCTTTAGTACTCGCCTGAGCAGACGCGGCCCCCAATTCAGCCCCCCCGCTGATCGCGACGCCCACTCATCGTGGAGGTGGAGTAAGAAGTAGTCGGGCAACCCACCCACCACTCGTCATTTCATCTGAATTTGGTCTCCAAGATGGTGTGAGATGGTGTGTGCCTGGGGGAGGCCATGTGGGGAACGGTCATTCCTCCGTTGGTTGTAAGAGCCAATGGAACTTGCTGGACGATGGGTCCGGGGAGAGACCTCTTTTAGCAAGTGCTCTCGGACGCAATAATACTGTGTTCTGTGTCTCTAGAGATGTATCAGTCAGTCTCTGGATCCGGAGAGTGGCAGCTGTGGGGATCATTTTCCCCCTCCAGGCTTCTGTGGCTTAGGCCAATCAGCTGCAGGATTCGAGAAGCAGCTTCCTGATCGATTGCAGTCCTTTCAGGTCATCCTGAGCCAATCCCATCTTTTCATTTGTCTAATCCAGTGGGTTTCTCTGCTTTCCAAAAGTCAAATTGGATGGTACTTGTGTGCTCTGGGTGGTGGACTAGTGACGGAGTGCCAACGTCCCTACTAGTAGTAGTTAGTAGTAGTATCCCTCGCTGAACCTAGTAGCTAGTATTTGCACAGATGCTCTCGACTGGCCTGACTTCTCCCCGAATGGTAATAATATTACTTACATTTCATGTTCTCCATCGCCCAATCGGTCATTAGAAACCTACCGTTGCGACAAGTCGAGTCTCTGGAGGCTCCAGCTCTATTTAAAACCCCCCCTCCGCTTCCCCTCGTGCAACCTGCTGGTTGATCTCTTTTCTCTTCTCACATTTCTTCCCTTCCATTTCACTTTCCGTCCGCCAGCACATACATACCCCTTCCAGCCAATGACTCTGCCTCCCTGACTACGGATTACTCGTGTTGTTCGGTTTTGGCTTCTTTCAACTACTTTCAACCATACAGTTGTAGTCTCGACTGGTGACAGTAATTTGGGCTTAATACTCCCATAGAGAGTGCGAAAGTCCGTCTTTCCAAGATGGCGCGGTCATACTTGGGCCTCACAGGAGGCAAGCTGCAAATCGCTATCAGTGTCATCGCTGGTATGGATTTCTTGCTGTTCGGTTACGATCAAGGTGTCACTGGTGGTCTGTTGACCCTCCAATCGTTCATCAAATACTTTCCAACTATCGCAACCAACGGTGAATACTATGAGAGCTTGACTAAAGCGCAACAAAGTACCCAGTCGACTCGCCAAGGTAAGTGCACCATTTTGTGCTATGCTCTAATCATTGATTCAGCCCGCGGACTGATCTTTGTTTTTGTCAAGGTGTCGTTGTCGCTGCGTACAACTTGGGCTGCTTTGCTGGATCGATTCCCACAATTTGGATTGGCAACATGCTCGGTCGGCGCAAAACTATCTTCGTTGGTTCGTTTATTATGTGCATCGGAGCTTTGCTGCAATGCACTTCCTACCAACTCGGGCAATTCATTGTTGGACGCTTGGTTACTGGTTTCGGTAGGTGCAACGACGCCTTATGTCCAACTTGTGAGTTATGCAACTTATGCAATACTAATCATATACTTTGTCGGTAGGAAACGGCATGAACACCTCTACCGTGCCCACCTGGCAGTCAGAGTGCTGTAAATCCAACCATCGTGGAATGCTAGTCATGATTGAAGGTGCCATGATTACTTGCGGTATCACCATCAGTTACTGGATTGATTTCGGTCTGCTATTCGCCGATCCAAATGAGGTGGCTTGGCGATTCCCGCTGGCCTTCCAGATTTTCTTCGCCCTCATTATCCTGGTTTTCGTTTTGCCTCTTCCCGAGTCGCCCCGTTGGCTAATCCTCAAGGGCCGCGAGGACGAAGCAAGGACTGTCCTGCGGTCCCTCTTGGGCGACGCTGACGAGACCTTCATTGAGACGGAATTTACGGCCATCAAGGCTACAGTCTTGGAAATGGCCAAGGGTTCGTTCCGTGACATGTTCACCATGACCGAGGACCGCCACTTCCACCGCGTGGTCTTAGCCTACGTCAATCAAATGTTCCAACAGATTTCGGGTATCAACCTGATTACATACTACATCCCCGTTGTGCTGGAGAACCAGCTGGGTATGACCCTCGAAAACTCCCGCTTGATATCAGCTTGCAACGGGACGGAATACTTCCTCGCTTCATGGATTGCCGTGTTCACCATTGAGCACTTTGGTCGTCGGACACTGATGCTTTTTGGCGCCGCGGGAATGTCAATATCGATGGTCATCCTTGCCGTCACCGCCAGCATCGGTAGTAACGGAGCCAATATCGCCTGTATCGTCTTCCTGTTCGTTTTCAATACATTCTTCGCCATTGGCTGGCTGGGTATGACCTGGCTGTATCCGGCTGAAGTGGTGCCGCTACGGATTCGTGCTCCGGCTAACGCGCTGGCAACGTCATCGAACTGGATCTTCAACTTCCTGGTGGTCATGATCACGCCGGTGGCTTTTGACAACATTGGGTACCAGACCTACATCATCTTTGCGGTCATGTAAGTTCCTCATCCCCTCGTTCACTCTCCATTTTCTGGCATCCTCAGTTCTAAACTTTGAACAGCAACGCCTTTATCTTCCCCGTAGTGCTCTTCTTCTATCCAGAGACGGCCCGCCGATCCCTGGAGGAAATGGATCGTATTTTCCGCAAAACGACCAGTGTCTTCAACGTTGTCAAGGTTGCTAACGAGGAACCTCACATGTACGGCAAGCATGGTGAGCTTCTGCGTACGCTCGATGACGTGGAAGACGATGCAGTCCGTCGCGCCAGTGTGCTGAGCCACCGGGCAAAGGACATGGAGAAGGACAGTGACGAGAACACCAACAGCGTGAAGGCATAAGCGTACACGACTGTGCTTTCTTCTTGGTCCGAACTCTCAAGGACTATAATGATTTAGTGATTCAAACATGGGCCATACGGCCCTAACTACTGAGCTTCGTTTATACCCCGACTGTTTCCGTGTATTTAGACCGAGAAACATGCTAGTTTTGATCTTCACGCTTAACTTCGATTAACTCTTGCCCAACATAGCATGAACTAGTCTAGTCAGTAAGCTGTACATGCACTACATCTCATGATGAATAGCCCCTTGCGTGAGATGCACGGCCATGCAGCTGAGATGAAGGGATGTCATTGTGGACACTCCCAAGATATGAGCTTATCTTTAGCACCATAATGGAGCGATCCAGGCCGCCGTAATGGACTGGTCTAGAACTTATTGATGCTCTACTAGACATGACTCCGGGGAGCTTTAGAGATACGATCCTGAGGCAGCAGCAAGTATCGCGAAAGAATAAAAACTGATCAGGTGACGACCAGATCAAGTGGTGGCTACCTGCTCCGGCAGCTTCCCCAAGAACATAGTTGGCCTTCATACCAACACATCATTAGATTCGATGAACTCTTAGCCATCTCTCGTCCAGTATTCACACCCTGATCCGGTTTTAAAGTGAGCGGATCGAGACGCATGATCCCATTTGATTGATAGTGAGCATAATGTGTCCTCATACTGGGTTAGTAGTTCTGCTATATCTCACAAGGCTGGTTCGCTATTTAGACATTTGTACATCGTACGCATCTTGCAGTCCTCTCGTCCGTGGGCCGCAGTGATAGAACTATCAAACTCAAGGAGCCTCTACTAATAGACTGTGTCTGCTAGTGCTCAAATCCTGCATATTGATGTTAGTGTCTCAGTCATTCCTCGTTTACGCATATGTACGACGAAGCTTTCGATACTTGCATGAATGATATGGATTCGGAGGAGGAGTGGTCCCTCGTTTGATAACAAGGTGACACGAGTCGCTCCGATAACCGACTTTTTTTCCTTTCCCCTTTTTGGATGGCATACATAAGCATAGCATGTTGTACAGACAGTAGCTTTCGGGCTAATCTTTTATGGGCTTGTGCTTGCTGACTCTTGGTTGGGGAAGTAGGGGAAACTGCAGTTAAACCGGATGGTGCATCTTTCTTATTAACTGTTCTGCATATCTGGGATAGCAGTATTATTCTCCCTGCGAGTATCTACAACAGCAGAACGATTGAAGGACTAATTATTAGCTGGCCATGCGCCAGGCGCAATCAAGATGCAGCATCCGTCAGGTTCGCTGGCTGGGTATGTGATGGTTCTGTCCATCCTTGGAAAGGGGTATTTGCGCCAGGGAGATAAGCTGTTCTTCCCTATACGAAGAGGATACTGTGCCAAGTCCTTCTAATTCCCTTCGTTTCAAGCATAGGTACAAAAGGACACAAGCCTGTCACTATCTTGGAAGGAGTCAAGCTTAGAGACTGAATAGAAGCTGAATGCGCAGAGCAGCGTCGACTTCTAGAATGTCGTCGGATTATGGTTCCCCGTTTCAGGCTCGTTCATCTGCTGCCCTTGACTGGGTGGAGCCGGTCGGTGCCAGTTTGTCTGCTCGGTCTCACCGAGGTCCAGGCGTCAGAAAAGGCGGAAGGGCGCTGTCTAGACTCTCTATCAATTGACAGAGAACAGGAAAGAAACGTTGGATACGCCCAGAAGATTGGCTCACCGGGCCATGGATTCAGTCACCGACCGGTGCAACAGAAAGCTGCAGATCGAACGGCAACCTCGATGACACTGCAGGATGCAGACCTCTAGCCGGACGAATGGAAAGCACCGACATCGGATTGAAGCTTTTTATCTTTTAGTGTTGGGCGACATCGTTGAATATACTAAATTGGTATTGTGATTTCTCAATCTGGGGAAGAATAGTGACTCATTGCGGACTGAAGGAGATCGGTTGGTTAACTAAAACTTGTTGAGTGCATCAACCGCGAAAGTGGATTCGTCCGACCGTCGGCTGCCAAATCCTCCTGGAGCTGCTCTGGATCCTCTGGATTCGTTCCATGGCAATAGTTTATCCGCCGAAACCGTCGCTGTTCTCGTGAGGATCGACTCTTCTCGGGCCATCGTTGGTCCGCCTCAATGTCTCTCGCGTCTCCGCTTTGTGTCTGCGGTTCTTTTTATCAATCGCTTGGCAATTGCCTCAGCGCAGAGCTCATTCAAGTACAATCCCACTGTCCCTTGCGTTCTCACTTCTTCTTCCCCTCTTTCCTCTGAGCGAGCTGCGATTGACCTGATATTGTTTCATTTTTGCCTTTCCAGCATCTCATCATGGCAGACTCAGTTCAGGTAAGTTTTTTTAGCATCCAGACTTACTAGATAAAGTCGGTCCTCCGATCCGTGCACATGCACATGCTCAAAGCTCTCCCCGCTTTTTTTTTCTTTTCTCAACGCTTGACTCAATACCTGCAGCATCCACCCAACTAACCAGACATGCAATTTCCTCTAGGGCTGATCACTACCGTCTTGATCGTTTATTTCCGATTTCTCCCACCGTGACACCACTGGCCACGAAGCTTCGTCAGTGCGGGGTGTCCAGCTGCATTGCTTGAGCGATCCTTATCAGCCACTTTATACCCTTCGTCTCCCCACCATTCTTCTCGCTTTCAGAGGAACTATCGTCACGCTCACCCTTGTAAGTCCCAGGCCTTAGCGTCGACGATGTCTCCCCGGATCTTGCGCTAACAATTTCTCTCGCAGCAGTTCCAGCAAACACTCTATCATGTCCTTGATGGAAGCGCCATCCCAGGCCCCTGAGCCGGGAAAGGACCTGAGCGCAGAGGATATCCAAGAGCGATCATTAAGCAGTCATGACGGCGACGTAGAACCGAGCAACGAACCCGATGTTGCGGAAATCGAGCGCATTTACAGGTCCGTCTCATCTCCTCCCTAGGTGCGAAACACACCTGACCTTGAATAGGAAATTGGACTTGCGTATCATCCCCGCATTCTGGGTCCTCTACTTCCTTTGCGCAGCAGTGCGCTCCAACGTCAGTCTCGCGCAGACCATGAATACCGACTCCGGCCACGATCTTGGCTCCGTCCTAAACGCTTCGCCACACCAAATCTCTACGGGTCTGGCGCTGTTCTACGTGTGCTACGTCGTGTTTGACCTTCCGTCCAACCTCATAATGACCCGTCTGAGTCCGCACGTGTGGATGAGTCGCATTGTCATCAGCGTCGGTGTCATTGGCAGTTGCATGGCCGCTATGAAAGCCGCATGGAGTCTATAGTTCGTCCCCCACTCCCCTGTCTCTCCGCGCAACAGCAACTAACAATCCCAGCCTCCTCCGTCTCCTTCTAGGCATCGTCATTGCAGGCATGTGGCCCGGCATGACCTACTACCTAACCCTATTCTATCCCCCATCGCGAACGGGCAAGCGCATCGGCCAATACTACACCGCAGCGCAAGTCTCCGCCGCAGTAGTCGGTCTGGTATCAGCCGGATTTCAAGAAATGGACGGCGAGCGTGGCCTCGTCGGCTTCCAATGGATGTTCCTCGTCTACGGCGTAATCACCATTGCCGTCGGCATAGTCCTCCTCTGGTGGCTACCGGACCGACCACTCGCGCCAGGAGTTGAACCCCCACGCCGCAAATACCTCTGGTGGTTCCCGCGCAGCCCCCCAGCCCTCACAGGCCGAGACGCCGAAATCCATTACCACGATCTCAAGCGCGTATACCACCGCGCGCAATGGACCTGGATGGACCTCGCCCGCGTCTTCATGGACTGGCGTCTCTGGCCCCTCCTCATCATGTACTTCGGCGTCGTGGGCGTGGGCATTGGCGTCCAAAGCTACGCCACGGTGATCATCGAAGCAATCAACCCCTCCCTAAGCGGAATCGACCTGAGTCTTCTCTCCGCTCCGATCTGGATCGTACGTCCCTCCGCATCCCCTCCCTATATCAAACCCACCCACTAACCAACCTCCGAAAACAAACAGATGGACCTCATAGCCATCGTCCTCGTAACCCCCTTCTCGGACCGCTTCCACCGTCACCGCGCCCTCTTCTTCTCCATCCCCGTCCTCCTCCAGATCCTCGGCCTCCTGCTAACCACCTACGCGGGGACCGACACCAACTCGTGGCCGCGCTACGGAGGCCTCCTAATCGTGGGCTTCGGGCTAGGCCCCACCGTTCCCATCACCATGACCTGGACAGCGGAGGTATTCCAGGGGCGCCACGGCGAGGTAGGCGTGGCCACTGCGTCGGCGGTTGTCTCCGGGTGGGGTAATTTGGGAAGTATATTGACGACGTATGCGCTGTATTCGGGGTGGAAGAGCGATTACGAGGCGCCGGGCAGGGCCAAGTATCGGAAGAGTAATCTGGTCATGGTGGGGATTTTGTGTGCGAGTATTTTGGCGGCGGTGTTGATGCAGGTTCTTGTGAGGGTGATTGATGGGAAGGAGGGTGGGGAGGAGCAGGATAAGATTGTGGATGGGGCGGCGAGGAGGGAGGCGAGGCAGAGGGGGTTGGATGGGTTGGGGCAGGGAATGTTTAAGTTTTGGAAGAAGTCGCGTTGAGTTGGGGAATGAATGGGGCATGTGAGCATTTGGGGGGGTGGGGTCAGTCTGGGGGATCATCCATCTCTCTTTGATGAGGGTGGTCTTTATATCTATATACTATACACGATCATGATCACTATATGTACTTAATGCTAGTCAAAAATTGTTTTATTAGTTGTGATTGCCAGCAGCAATACCGCAAGTTGTCTAGATGCAGGGGAGAAGTTTTCATGTCCAGCCCGTTGGGCAATGATTGTATTGACACACTATGTTACTGTGATAAGTCGGCCATTAATCTATTCTCTGATCCTTCCGGTGTATGCCTTAGGCACATTCCACCAGTTTATTTTCAAGTGACTGTCGGTTCCTCCGAAGTCCTCTATGCTTAACGTAACACATAACCCAAGTAATGAAAGAAAACGAAATGCAAAACCAGCAGAGGGTAAGGAACGCAAGGCGAGCTCTGGCGGAGAGTAAATGAAGAGTCCCGAACTACCAGCTGAAGAATGAAAAAGAAATTCTATGTTTGCTCCCGAGAGTGCCAGGCTGCGCTATTGTCCACCTCCCTGTCGACGCCGGAGGGTATACGAGCGCTAATATGAAGTGTATTCACATTTTCAAACGGTATGTAACGCATTTAGTTGCCACCCATGAGCTGGAAAAACAGTCAGTCATCTGCGTGATCCATGTAAAACTCAGTAGAACTTACAGTCTCAACAATAATACCGGTGATCTGGTAGGGGCAGGCGTTACTAGCGGGACGACGGTCCTCGAAGTAACCCTTGCCGTCCTTGGCGACCTGGCGGGGAATACGGATGGAGCCACCACGGTCGGCAACACCATAGCTGAACTTGTCGATGTTGCCGGTCTCGTGACGGCCAGTGAGACGCTCCTCGTTACCCTCACCATAGACAGCAATGTGCTCAACATGGCGGGCCTCAAGCTTCTTCATGGCGGCCTCAATGACCTTCATACCGCCCTCAGCACGCATCGAAGCGGAGGAGACGTTGGTGTGGAGACCGGCACCGTTCCAGTCACCCTTGATGGGCTTGGGGTCGAAAGAGATCTTGACACCGAACTCTTCAGCGACACGGTGGAGGAGGAAACGGGACATCCAAAGGTGGTCACCCACTGCAAACACAGTTAGTATTAATGCACTCCAAATAGCAACTGGCGAGGGCCAACTCACTCTCAATGCCGTCGCAAGGGCCGACCTGGTACTCCCACTGGGAAGGCATGACCTCAGCGTTGATACCGGAGATCTTGATACCGGCGTACAAGCAGGCACGGTAGTGAGCCTCGACGATGTCACGGCAGTAGACCTTGCCGGTACCAACACCACAGTAGTAAGGACCCTGGGCACCGGGGAAACCACCGCGGGGCCATCCGTAGGGCCAGCCATCAGTGCCGAGGAGGGTGTATTCTTGTTCCAGACCGAACCACCATTCTTCCTTGGCGTGGATTTCCATCAGACGGTTGGCCTCGTGGCGGTGGTTGTACTTGTTGGGGGTTCCATCGGAGTCCCAGGTCTCACAGAGGACGAGGATGTTGTCACCACGGCGGAAGGGATCGGGGAAGATAGCGACGGGGCGGAGGTAGACATCGGAGTTGTCACCAGGGGCCTGACCCGTTGACGAACCGTCAAAGTTCCATTCGGGGAGCTCATCGACCGATGTGACAGGCTTGGAGAGAGTCTAAAGCACAATGATGGGTTAGCCCGAGACGCGCTATGTCACGTGCAACGGGTGGGTGCAGCCGGCGCGTGCAGGATCGAGTCACCGTGCGCAGGGCTTATCGGTGTTCGAGGGAGCGATGATAACGACGGGTCCCTCGTCGCAATCCAGGACACGTCCGACTCCACACGCGTGTGCCATGAATGAAGAAAGTCGAGTGAATGGAAGAAAAGTGCTTACCTTGGTCTTGCTACGGCAGCCACCGACAGCATCAATCCAGATGTACTCAGCCTGGACGGTACCTCGCTGGTCGAGGGTCATGTACTTCATGAGCTGTTTCCAGCCAGTCAGTATGGCATTTTCCTCAGAACCGCAAAGCGGCTGAAGAAAGATTATGCAAGGTATTAATGAGAAGATGAACGCACATTCTCCGTGTTGGAGATGACGGTTGCTTCACCAGAAGACTGTGGCGAAAAAGTGTGAGTCAGCGAGTAAGTTCTAGCAAATCTTGGCAGGCAAACAACGCAACTGAAGCCAAAGTAACAGATTGGGAGTATAGCATTGAAAGGACATACCATTGTGAAGTGTGTGTGTGTGATGTAGAATGAATTAAGATTCTTTTTTGTGGTTATTGAGCTTGCTAACGCAAAGCTTGTTCAAAGACGTTTGACTTTGAATTTGTGATCAAGTCCAATGACGATATAAACGCGAGACAATCCAAAAGATTGGTCAAGAGCAAAGTGATAGCGAGAGAGGGGAAGGACCCAGAGATATAAGAGAGAGAGAAGCGTGGAATAAAAGATGGCGGAGAGAGGAGTGAGGAGGAATGGAGATTGTAAGTCAGCGGTTCAGTGGGTGGGGAGGGATATCCTTTAAATTTAAGAGAATCAGGAAGGCGGGCTTTTGCTGGGGAGGGGGGCAAAAAAAGTCCCAGACAAAAATGGATCTGGAAATTCACAAAAATAACTCTGAAAATTACCGTCACAGCTTCGGGCTGCGTTTCGGTTGCTGGGCATCCGCTTTCGTATTACACTTTTCTTTCCCACCGCGTCCGTTTCGCCGGATACACCGATCGCATTCAATATGCGAGGGAGTCATTCTGGCGATCCCCTTCACATTATGTCGCATTTGCTGCTTTTCCTGTCTGTTTCATTGGATGCACTGCTCCATGTGGTGATCAATTTTATGAATCAATTTTTGTTGCTTTGCTCTCAAGAGTGAAATGTAACTCTGCCCATTACCCAAGTCAGATTTCACTGACACCAGATGAATGCGGCAAGGCTGCAGGTTAGACCAGGGTTTGTTACGCCACTATTTCCATCGCCCATCCATTGTAAGGACTAGACCCAACACTGGCTTTTTCGATATCAAGTCTACGTACGCCGGTCTTTTTCCCAGCGTGGGCATGTCCGCGCTTGCTAAAATTCACGCAAGACTTGCTAGTGAATTGATTCATCATTAACGGTGAAGTGGCAGGATATTGCATTAGCCATGGAAGAAAAAAAAAATTAAATGGGATTGTCAATGCCGTGTAATTGAGACACCTGTCCACCGATATGCCTATCCGGGCTCAGAAAGAAACAATATTACCCAAACGGGTAAAATGGATGCACGATTGGAAAAAGTTCCCCCGTCTTTCTTTTCTTCTTTTGTTCTGCGAGGGCAACTTCCGTGGAAGGCCACTACTGCAGTCGGATAATTTCTTAGATAGCAAATTCGTAATACAGACTATCTGAACCTTGATAGGCAGCACTCTCCTCCATTGGAATTCATCCATGACTGAGAGTATTAATCACAGCAATTTCATTCGAACCCGCAAGGCGGTTGCCCCCTTCCCCAGATAATCTTCCCACCCCACGCGACGGTGATCTGGATTCAGAAGCGTCCACTCCTGTTTGAGTTCCCACCGTGCACTTACTATCAGGGCAGGGATCAAAAATTTAAAAGGAATAAGAAATTAAAGCCACTATCTCGTACTCTATACACCGCATCTCGAAAAGCCATGTCTGCTGACCTTGTCCTTCCCCCCCTCCCTTTCAAAAAGTAATCATGATATTGTCTGATCCCTCACTTTTTTCCCCCTCTAACCTTCTCTTACCCAGAGATAGCGACAGCAATTAGTTGCTAAGAGGAATTATCAACCAGTGGTCGGTTCCGATGCATATCAGCTGCAGGACCCGAATAGCTCGAACGTTGCCTGCGCCTAATCGCATTGACATGGCTTCCTATTGGTAGGCGTGACATGATGGGTGCATCTCAGGATAACAATGATAGGAAAGACATATCGAGGTACCGGTGTCTATCTTTCCCGTCTTATCTTTGTGCAATTTGGGGGATATTGAAGTGGATGGCCGTAGTGCATTGCCCGACTACTACTAGTACTACGATTACTACCTTGAAGCTGCGTTGGAGTATCTACTAAATGTGACCAGATATCACGGATGAATTACCGGGGTTTCTGATAGGAAACGATCACGATGTTCCGTGTAAGCGCCAATACACAATTTCTTTCACGATACGCAAATCCTGTCCCGACTCCAGTGTGTACCTGCGGTTATCTAAATTGGGAGGATTTCCCTTATCAGTGGCTGCCCCTCAATCCCCGCCATGAGTCGCGTGGGTGGATCATGGCGCGCCTGCCGACTGATTTTTTTTCAGTTCTCGGCCTTTTCATTTCTTTTTAATCGCGCATGGACAATACACTTTGAGTCGGCGCTTTGCCCTTTCCGCACAGTACTTTCAAAAATGAAGTATCACGATCCAACTATTGTCCCATATCCAAGCTGCCGGCCCGGTGGAATATCCCGTTCCCATTTCCTTCCCCCATCAACGCATATCAACGTCCAGGGATGCGGTACATTGCACATACAAAGTCTGACAGCTTACCACCATGAAATACAGTTACACACAAGCGGGTAAACCCAAGAGAGCCCATGTCCGGATGCCTTGCCTCGCAACGCAAGTCGACTGGCTGATTTGCCGGGAGTGGGGCGTGGCAAAACATTCCTTGAAGGGAGAATGGCAAGAGAGCCGCCCGCCAGCCCCGAGACCGGCCACTGTTTCCATGTTAACTGGAGTTATAATTAGGTTTTGTGACTAATATCATGTGAGTACGGTGTGTTACTCGTGGGCGCACCGCCTCTCCAGCCGAGCCTGGAGGGAAAAACGGTTCCAGAGGGAAAAAGTCAAATGAACGGCGGGTGAATGGATGAGGGGGGAAGGGAAGAAGGGAAAAAAAAAGAGAGTTGAGCTACACAGGTTACTCCTGAGTTTAGAGCATCCTTGTTCGACCCCAGGATTTCCCATCCGCATGCTCTGCGGTGACCCATTCGTCTGTTAGTGTCCGATCGTGGGTTTGGTCACTCCCCTTTCTCCGCGAGTCTTTGTCTGCTCCGGGGGTGGGTGAATGGGTGCTGCAGCAAATGACAGAGAGGCCAAGTCGGGAGTTTCAGGAATCCGCGAGGGAGAAAGTGGCTGCGTTTCCGATCAGCCCTGTGGACGTCATGGCTGGCCTCCACACTGTGATGCTACAATGAGGTATCAGATGTCATTGCTGGAGAACTGGGCAGGATAGCTTGGAATCCACCTGAGAGACATCAGGCCTCAGTGTCTTAAACCGTGCGCCATAAAAGCGTCATCCTCCTTCAACACCTTTAGTACTCCCTGTTACTGTGCGAATCTTGGAAGCCGGGCTGTGTTGCCGCGCCCCAGAATAGTAACTGAGCCATCAATGATTGTGGCGCTGCTCAATGACTAGCCGAGATGGGTCTAGTGCCGTCCAGCCGACGACACAGTACACAATCCAAGTGACCACCACCATCACCACCCTTCCTGAATCGTATCTGATCGTGATGCGAGTTTCATATCCATCCTGATACAGTAGTCCGATCCCCCCCCCCCTCCCCTGAATGAAAATGATACACAAAATAGAAAAAATTCGCAACCGCATATACACGGACGGTAATACGGAGTATGAGTGGACCAACTTACTCACCACCACCAGACTGACCAACAGCTGCAGCACCTGGTGAAAAACTAGCAGACCAAGGATGGGTTCGGGCGTCACAGCAGTGGACTGGCGGACCACGATGCAAGCCTCTCAGCATTTCAAGAGCCAATATATCCCTCACCGGCCAAGCAGAAAAAGAATTCAAAGCCCCCATTTCCGAATTAACCCCTCAATGAAACGGACGATAAAACTAATCAGAACATGGTTCTGTCTGTAGATCACGCCCTTCCAGTTCGTGATGCTTATCGTGGCCTGCTCATTGGTTGATGGGGGGTGGTCATGACAAACGACGCTGACTGGTTTCGGGCCGACCAGAGCGATTAGGTCAGATGCCATTTACATCTTGTGTAACTGCAATTCAGGCTGTTTTGATTCTGAGCTTTATTTTGAAAGGGTATTGATAGTAAGTGGCCTACTAGATTATATCGCAGAGCTTTCTTATCGTGATATTGTCGAGTAGTACTATATATCTTCACCAAGCACTCACATCTTCACTACTACTACTACTACTACTACTACTAAGACTTCATCCAGGTATTGCTTCTACTACAGAAGTAGTAGTAATAACCATTAACAATTATTCGGAACATAATCCTCATCATATGAAGTAAATGCACATGCACATGCTCACTTCAGAGTTCCGAAAAACCCAACCATATACGAAATGAAGCCGATCAATCGACACGTTCGAATGCCTCCCATTCCCGAACCATTTTCGCAGGCCATCACATTCCTCCATAGATCATGATGATGATCTTCATCATCCATCCATTCCTCATACAAATCACTCAAAACTCCGCGGCTACCAAAATCGTATACTTACATACAACATTACCTAAGTATACTTTCACCATATCAAGTCATCGACCATACAATAGACTAACCCCATCTGCACGACACATCCAATATCACTTCGATAATGACAGGTCTAATGGATATGCCTAGTTTACAACAACAAACCCAGGGTCCTGAGACTTCTTTTGCATGAATGGTATAAACCTTAAGTTCGTTGCAGATGAGGGAAGTAAGTAGGAGCTGTTCGACACAGCAAAAGGATCTTCAGCTATCAAGCCCGGTGGTTCCGATTAGTCCTTGAGGGGACAGGGCCAGGGCCAGCACCAGCCACAGCGATCTCGGCCGCGGAGTGCTTTGTTGCAGGCATGTATGTATGTATGTATGTATCATGCGGTGCCTGAATATGGGGTAATAGGCATCTAAGGTGAAGTATTAATCTTGGGCTAGTCTAGGATTGATTCCATACCGGAACCTAATACCTACTACGTGCTCAGGGGATTTTCTAATCGAAGTAACCGGGAGAAACTAACCATATAACCGTGAAAACAAAAACAAAGAAGCATACATACATACATACATAACATGTAATATAAATTCAATATCAACAGCAAGAATAAAAAAGAGAGAGAAACAAACAAAAATAGAAAAAGAATTGAATGTATGAAACAAAGACAGAAAATACCTCAAACATTGAAAAAGAAAGTGTAAAAATTTCCCAAAAGCTAAGCTAAGCTAACTAACTACCTGACATTTCCCAAATTCCCCATAGTTAGGCATCCAGTTTTAGCCAGTCAGGGAGAGTAATTCGCGCAGTTGATCAAAGGGCCGCCAAATAAAAATTTTATTTGCTAGTGCATACTATTATAGAACTAATAACGTCCAAGCTTCAACTTCACTCCTCTTTCCTTGAATTTCAAGGGGGAAAAAGAATTAGAACAGAAAGACATGGAAATGGATGCAAAGGTGCATATTGACTCAAACAATATCTGAATTTTCAACCACTTGTTCTATGGTTCTTACATAACTTCCCTGCGTGTTTCTTTTTCATTGCATGTTTCAATTGAATTATTTTCAAACTTCACTCCTTACTATTTATTTTAAAGTAGGTATTTATTTCCGCATACATACATGGGGAATGCACATGTAGACAAATAAAAAAAAAATCTCCTCCTTGCATGTTGTTGGGGGTTCGAGCTTTAGATTTAATCCCTCATACTTACTGATTCTTGAAGGAGTGAAATGTGGCGGTCGGTTGGTTCAATTGGCTTGTGACTCAGCTGATCGGTTTCAGAGGATCGGATGGATCTGTCTATACCGCCTCTACAGTATTTGTTGGGCATTTGCCGATGATTATCTATGTACTAACTGGGTATAAATCTGCTATAAGTAATTGTGGATTCGTATATTATAGACTTGCGAGTTACAAGCCCATGGGCTGGTTTAAACTAGTTGGCTACTATGTATGCAAATCCTAGGACAGTTGTCATCAAGACTGGTCTAGATTCCCGGGGCTCCTCGTTTTTGTGTTTGCCCCTGCAGATGGGCCGATGGGACACCCACGTAAGTTCACTCGCTCTGGAAGTTCTGACAGTTAGGTGTTTGTATTTTTGTGCCTATGGTCTGGCATACTGTACATTTCATTTCTCCTGCTGTCTTACTAGTACTATTTTTCCGTGAGCTGCTTGTTGTTATTGTTTGTTTTTGACTGTCATTCCACTGCTAGTCAAGTTCCCTCGGCTCTAGCTCCACACCCACAGGGTCACCTCGGTCAAACACATGGCCCTTTCCCAGTAGTTGCACAGGACTGTATCCTATTAAGCTTAAGATTCCTTTCACATGCCCCAGTCCATATCAGCTGGTTTAGAATCGGGTGTTACAGGTCGGGCTGGTTTAGGATCAACTGGTGTATGACAGCCTCTAGCATTCTTCCTATGCAGATACTGCACAGACCGTGATCCAAGAAAAAATGGGCCGAGTCTGCTTCCAGAACATCGGTCGAATCTTCGGCAAGTCCCCACGTCTGAATTAGTGCGACTCCTGGTCGAGGATATCCCAGCTTGCGTCACCGCTTAGACCGATGGACGAGATCGATCGCTCTCCACTTCCGACGCAGTGGATGATGCGTATCCCTTCCCCTCATTGTCATAGAATCAGCGGCAAGTCTCAGCGGCCCTTCCGCTGCCGCGCCCATCGTAAAATCCATTCCACCAAGATCCCAATATCCTGTGACAATTCCAGCACATTTGCTATTTTGCTTTGCAACTCGAGAGCCTTCTTCTCTGGGGTGTCTTCCATGCTGTCCGTGGTGGTAGTGTTGTTGTCATCTAGCAGACCGGTCATGTCCACAACGGAGACCCGACCGTTTAGTCCAACTTCCAGACTAATGGACACCTTCGTCAGTGCCGCCTCCGCGTTGGCGGATTCCGACGCTTCGTCTGGTTGATCCACTGCGAAAAGTAGCATGATCACTGGTGCTTGTCCCAGTTGCGTCCGCAACGTTACGTCTACCTTGACATCGTTGTCAACAGTAGAATTGGGGCCCGAATTCTCGTTTCCTACCCCCACAGGGCCTTTACCCTTAGCACCCGGCGAAGTTGCTAATTTCTCGAAGCCTCCCAACAATGCATCGAGTCTCTTCTCATTCGGGTCGGCATTGCTCAGAATGATGACATCTTTCTTCGTCTTCCCATCAGTAAATTTGGGTGGGCTAAATGAGATATTTGAAGAATCAGCCGGCGTGGCGGATTTGTCCTCATCGGGCTTGTATGAAGAGCTGAAAATGCTGCGGATCAGGTTGGCCAGAAAGGCATACTGGCGAAGGATCTAGAAGAATATGTCAGTAACCTCGACACACAACATGAGTCTCCGAATCATACCGGAAGGATATCTGCGAGTTGCCGGGGATGTGCGAATGGGATATCTCTCATTGTTCGGCCAGCTACAGACTCAAACGGCTGGAACGTGTAGCTGTGATGCTTCGTACACGGTTTGCCCGTACTGTCAACCGATTGCACCGACATTCTGCGTCTCCTCCGCTCAAGCTGAGAGGCCTCCTCTGGCCCCAGTCCCATAGCCCCTGCTGCCGACAAAGGCGACCAGCCTGGGGCCAGGAGTCCATCGTAGGTAACCATTTTGAACTCCTGCGGCAGTTGCATTCCAAGGTGCCGGTAGATATCAGATGCTGCCAAAATAGGTAAATCCAAGGCCGGCTCCAACTTAGCAACGAAGCGACGATTAGGAGCAGAAGAACCCAGCATATTCGAGTCAAGTGCCATGGCGTCCGGGTGACCTTGGTTGTTGGTCAACGTCGCCGGAGGATCAACCCAGTTGACAACTGCAGCTTCAGACCCATGCGCCTCACTCGACGACGGCCCATTGTCATTGTTATTGACCCCAGTTAACACTTCGGATCCAACCCAGTCCTTCGACACACGGAGGGATGGGTAACCCTCTTCGCACTCCACCACAATGCTCCATTTCCCTTCCAAGCTGCTCGAATCATCATCCGACGGTTGTCCATTCGGTGCATCAACCACCATCGCATCAGACGACGTCTTCTGCTTCTCCTTCGCATCCAGAACCCGTGCTTGCTGCACCCAGTAATCCAAGCTGAGACCAATGCGACTCCCCTTGTGCATACACGGCTGGCCAACCCAGCCACTGCAAAGATGGTCGTACACCCCCGCGAACTTGCGATGGTTCCACTCCGCCTCCCACACGCGCTTCAAGCTCTCGTAAAGACCTTCGATGGCCTCGAAACAATTGACCTCCTGACTAAGCCGATCATGTTTGGCAAGCCACTGTAGATTCTCATGGAACCCCCGCAACGACTCCCAAGCACCCCGGTCTCCTTCCTCCGGCGACTGGATCAGGTCGCGCTTAAGCACCGCCGTAGCCTCGTCGCGCTGTTCCCCATCCTGCGCATCGGGCGTCGCATACTTCAAGCTAACGTCCTTCACCACATTATACCCCCGATGGAAGTCGATCTCCAGGTCGACAAAGTTCCCCGCAATGCTGAGACTGTCCTCCTGCCAGATCGACTCGAACCCTTCGAGATCACTCAGCCGCTCAATACCCTCTCTGCAAACGCCCCGCCCCGAGACTCGGGCTCGTAGAAGCTGGACCACATCGTCGATATGTCTTCTGCGCTCCTCCTCGCTGTCGCGAGCACCCCCGAGCTTCAGACCCGGCATGCCCAATGCCTGGATATCATTCTCGTTCATGCCTGCGCCGACAAGCCCATCGTGCCCGGCGGGGGACGGACTGATTCCGCTGTAGCCACCAAGCGCGAGGAGAGCGGACGGGGAACTGAACGTAACGGGGTCCTCCGCTCCGGTAGTCACAGCGAGAGGGGTAGAATATTGGTGCATCGAAGTGGGGGGTTGGTTGTGTCCATGACCGGAAGCTGAAGGCGTCCTCGTTGACGGCGATTTGTGAGAAATCGGGCGGGCCATATGAGCACCAGACGGACGAGGCGACGAGGTCAGATGCGTCGGAGTCGCTCCTGGGTTTGGCTTGGACGATGGGGTCGCCATAATGGTTATTGAAGGCTGTATAAGAGCCACAGAGAAAAAGTAGATCTATCCACCTCGACTAGGAAATATACAAAGTGTATGAAGTAGCAAACAAAGGCTGGGTATCACGCAGAAAAGAGAGATAATGGAGAAGAAATCAAGCAGCCGATGAAATCATGGATGCTCCATATGTCTGGCGAGAGCAAAACACACGACTTGACAGACGAATTGAAAGAGAAAGATTGCGCAAGCGCCACTGTCTATTTAAGAATGTAAGACATGAGCCTCCATAACACGCACAATCAAGAACACCAACCCATGGAGCAAATCGCAAGTGGAGGGGAGGATAGCCGGGGAGATGGCCGGTAGTGCATCCCGATCACCAACTGGTCGCGGCCGCAAACGCGCAGTCACATGAGTTTGGCCTGTTTGTCTGCGCAGCGTCATAGTTTCTCCAGGTCTTCGGATTTCCCTAACCAGCGTCTATTTACTAAGTTCAATTGAACTCCGTTTCTTTAATCAGCATATTTGCTAAAATGTTGGGCCTTCGCTCATTTGTTCGCCAGACGCCTAGATGGACGCAGCTCCGAGCTGTGTCCACGCTAGAGGGTCATTCTCACATTGTAAGTAGCTAAACGCAGCAATTCGCCGATCTACGAACCATCTACAAATCAACCCTACTAACACTTCAACCCAGTACGTATTCCCCAAGAACGGAACCAACATCCTCTCCCTCCTACCCACCGAACCCACCAACCCGGACCTCGCCCTCGGCGTATCCTCCAAGCTCCCACCAACACCCGACTCCTTCAGAGAGAACCCGAAATTCCTCAACATCCTGCAAGAAGTGATCGCGGAGCATGGATACAAAGACCCAGAAGCTGTTTCGCAAGCCCAGGTGATGGTCTCAACAGCAGGCGCTAACCTAATGTCTGGGGGAGTGCTGATGGGTGGCGGGCGTACGAGGAGACGCCGCGGCGAAGCCGGGGACTCCAGTGGCGGAGCTAGTGGTCAAGGTGGTGCTGGTTCGGCGGGGAGGGGAGGCTGGATTCATCTGTCGGATGGTAGACGGCCGCCGGAGTATGGACGGATTGCTTGGTATGGTTCCTTTGACTTTGTGTTTGGGGTGTGGCTGACGAGGTGTGATGGATAGGCCTGAAGATATCTTTGGGAGTCTGGAGGTGGATGCTGATGGGAAGTTTGTTGGAGGTAATGGCAATTATCAGGCGAGTGGTATGTTATGTGATTGATTGATGGTTGGTTGTTATATTGGATGATGTGACTGACTTGGCTAGGGACTTATCGGATTGTGACTCGGGATGGAATGTAAGTACCATCTATTCCTGATATAACTGCGTGGGTTGTGCTAATTTGAGATCAGTTTCGGTCTGAGTCCGTTCCTACGGGAAAAGTTGGTCCAGAGATTGCGCCAGCAAGAGTCTCAATAGGCTATTTCATTAGGAGCCTTGTACAATATTTCATGGATGTATTATTTATTGGGCTTTGTGGGATAGTATCTCCATTCAAACTGCTGGCAGTTGACACAAGTTGGATCATGCCTGGATTACAGACGATCAATTCTCGGGTCCAGCCCGGAGCTCAGATCATGTCTTTTCTTCCATCATGCAACCCTCTCTTTTTACTTCCCGAAAAAGTTCGTAATTCGCTGAGTCCCTGCAGGGGGCTGCTTCTGCGGACTCTTCTTCATCGGCTTATTATGCGTGGCACTGCGCGTCTTCTTCCCTGCTGGCGTCTCAGGCTTAGATGGTGAACTCATCTCCGGGCTCTTCTTCGGCGATGAAGCTACACTCGGCTCCGTTTTCTGCAACTTAGTATCTTCCGTCTCGACATCAGGCGAATGTTCCCTCTTGACTCCAGAAACCGGCTTGGGGGCATTATCCTCGCTCCATTCAGCATCTTTCGTGGGCCTCTCATCCTTCACTCCTTCTTCCACCTTCACCGCAGCACCCTTCTTCGCATTGGCAAAGAAGTTCGCAATATTGCTCTTATTCTCCTTACTACTAACCGGAACTATAAAATCAGGAGAATTATTTCCCACCTTCCCCACCTCTTTCGGCACAGGATAACACTCCAGCTCGCCCTCATATGGCTTGAGGATCGACTGCAGCTCTTTCGACCACTCCGTCCTAGAGGGGTCCAGCCAAGTCTTCATCTGCTCGCTATTCGGGTCCAGAATCACGGGCATCCGATCATGCAGGAACTTCAAGTAGGAATTCGAAGATGTCGTGATGATCGTATATGTGTAGAGATAATCATCCGAATCTGATACTGCAATTAGCTCCCAGCCCCAAACATTCCCTCAGAAGTATAAAGAATGTATAAGCCCACCTTCATACTTAACACTATCCCACAACCCCGCAAAATACATCAAATCGCCATCCTTCCTCTTCACGAAATGCGGAACCTTCTCTTTCCCCCCTGGTCCTTTCTTCAACCACTCATAGAACCCCTGACACACCACCACGCACCGCTTCCTCCGCTTCATGGACGTCCATAGGCCCCGGTCCTCGATTAGTGAGTCATCTCGGCAGTTGATTGTGCGCATAATACTTCCGTAGTCGGGATTGCGTTTCGTCCAGAAGGGAATCAGACCCCAGCGCATGCTGTGGAGCTTGTATTTGGTGGCATTGCTCTTCTTTTCTCCCCCTGTTTCCTCTCCTTCTGCTGTCTCTTTTTCGGTGTCAGGTTGACTAGCTGGCTCATCATGCTGATGAGAAGACGGGTACATATGCGTATCAGCAAGGTAAACAGCGCCGCTGTTCCCTGGAGCGAAGTTGTAGGTTTCGCGGACGTCTTCATCGGGGGGTGCGTCGTCGACTTGGAGGCCTTGGTCTTGGAGACGGCGGCGGATGAAGCTCATGCGCTTTTTGTTTGTTCCAGTGTTAGTACCACTTCAGTTCATACTGGTTGTGTGGGGTGTTGGTCGTGATATATAGTACCACAGGAGTAGTACATAGGGCGGGGGATTAGGCACGTACCACGCCTAAAGCGTATCGTCCACACATGGTGGGGTGATTTAAATTATCGATGAGAGATTATTGGAAGCGCTGAAGCAAAAGAAAGATTAGCTGGTGTGGAATGCGACTGAAGAGAGAGAAAGGAAGAATAGGTTGCGACGTCATGCGGCAGGGCGGAGAAGGAAGCTAAACTACGATCGATCGGCGGGAATCTCCAACTGTAACTTAAGCAGTGAAAGAGGTCTGGAACTTCCGGCCAACTTCTTCACTGTATGGCAACTATATAGAGAACGGGACTTTTCTCATATTTACCTTGCTTTAGCGTCACGAGCCTCTTTTTCTGTGGTTGTGATATAATGGTTGTCTCTTGGTGTTATGTGTTCATTGTATATTTGGCTGGACTCCTGGTAAATATGTTCAGTACCGCATTCAGGCATGCTATTACTATATCCGGAAGTGTAACGTATCTAGCTTTAATCAGATAGCAGTAAGACGGCTGGTTTACGGTAAGATTAGGCTAGTTATACAGGACCGTAATGTCAAGGTGAGTTATAAGTAATAGCCTACTCAGGTTATGATCTAAGTTGTCATAGAGAACAATGTATATTGAACTAGTTGATAGTAGCACTTCAAAATACCAAAAAGAGACATTGATAAAATGTTGTAAAATTCAGTTCTTTATTTGAATAGATATACTTGAAGAAGTGATAAAATAAACGGAATAAATCTTGACAATTGGTGATGCACACAGTGGCCAAAGAGAAAAAGCCATTGGTCTTGATGATACCCGCTAATTTAATGTAAAGCATCTATGTGAAGTGAATAGTATCAGAAAGACAGAATCATGTGATTGCAAGAAATATATATAATACATGGCGATGGTCATACTAACAGAATCAACACCATATCCTGACGGGATGCAAGGTACACGATCTTAGTGATGTAGATCAATCTCAGGGACGGACCCGAGAAGAGCCTCAAACGGAAGCATCCATGTACGGGGATATAAGGTACTATGGATTAACTTCCATCGACCGATGGATCGAATAATCCAGAACGATACGTTGACCCCACAGACTGTTGCCATAGTACTATCCAGTAGTTATGATCCACCCCCCCTCGCATCGGAGCTACCAAAGATAGTAGTAGTACGGTATGTCTACGATGTCTCCGACGGTGATAGGGTAACTTTTTAACAGTCTTTTAAAATGGTATTAGAACATTTTGCATGTCATCCCTTTCACAAGATTCCAGACAATTCGGATTTTATGAAACGAAATCTCGAGTAAGCTAGACATGTTCAAGGTGAAAACCCGGGAGGAATGGGGGGAAATGCCCCTCCCTCCGAGGTGCTTTCATTGCTCATGGCTCATACATCCCAACCAATGCCTGCCCTTTTTGTTGTTTGGAAAAGGAAAAAATAAAAAACAGATATCTTTGTTATTTGATTTCTCTCCTCCGCTAAAACTCAACACCGTCCCTTGATAACTTGATGGGTATCAATCTATGCCCTCGACATGACACCCCAAGCGCGGATCTTGTTGTCGGTGTAACCAGCGAACAGAGTCTGGCCGTCAGCGCTCCAGGCCAAGCTGACACACTCGGGCTCGCGGCTCTTCTTGCCCTTCTCGATGTACTCGGGCTTGAGCTCGTCAACCTTGCTCTTCTTCTCGAGGTCGAAGATGGTGATGCTGCTGGAGGTGGCAGCGCAGAGCCAGTAACGGTTGGGGGAGAAGACGAGGGCGTGGATCTCGTCACCGGCGTGGAGGGAGTAGAGGTGCTTGGACTCGTTAAGGTCCCAGAGCATGGTGGTGCCGTCCTTGCCACCGGAGGCGCAGAGGGATCCATCGGGGGAGATGGTGACGGCGTTGATGTAGCCGGTGTGACCGATGTGGTCGGTCTGGAGACGGCAGGAAGCGAGCTCCCAAACCTAGTTGTTTTGCATGTTAGCTTCATGACTCCACAGAGATAAGATTCTTCAAGTTGAAGTTCTCGGTGGAAAAGCAATAAAAGCAATAACAACATAAACAAGATATGTTTATTGATTGTCCATCAGGGCATTGGTGAATGTTTGTCTCATGGCCGTGAAAGGCTCTGAAGTAGCAAATACGTTTATGCAAAAACATCTTCTGGACGAGTCGAGATTGCGAATGATATAAACTTGGGTATGCGGGAGTCGAGTCATAACGTACCTTGACGAGCTTGTCCCAACCAGCGGAGACGATGACGGGGTTCTGGGGGTTGGGGCTGAAGCGAACGCAGGAAACCCACTCGGTGTGGCCCTTGTCGGTGATGGTGAACTTGCAGTCACCAAGGGTGTTCCAGAGCTTGATGGAGCGGTCACGGGAAGCGGAGACAATCTGGCGGTTGTCGGCGGAGAAAGAAACGGAGAGGACGTCGTTGGTGTGGCCGACGAAGGTCCGGGTGGTCTCACCAGTGGAGAGCTCCCACAGGCGGAGGGACTTGTCCCAGGAGGAGGACAGAGCGTAGGCACCGTCGGAGGAGATCACCTATAAATCCCCATGCACGGTCAGCCAAATCATCTTCCTTTTTATTCTTTGCCCAGTCCCGCCTTCTCGTAGGTTTCGATCGGGCTTCGTCCTTCGTCTGTGGGGAAAGTCTTTTCTTGTCTGGACTGGGACATGGTGGGGACGGAGTAATTCGGAGGGCATACACAGTCAGAGACGATGTGAGAGTGACCCTCAAGGCTGCGCTTGGGGTAACCGTAGGCCTGCTCGTCGCGGGTCAGGTTCCAGATGATCAGGGTCTTGTCGCGACTGCCAGAGAGCAGCATGTTGGGGCTATAATCGAGGAAGAAAAACATAAAGTCAGAACCCAGTTTTGTCCATTTGATATATGAATATTTCATGTTTCAACCAATGCGATCATTTTCTTTTCTCGCAACAATGCATCCATATACCACTTGTTCGGTAGCACATGCACACCTTGTTCGATTTTCGCAACAAAACGCATTTGTTTCATGTCTTCAATTCGGTGTAGTGTAGTGTTGCCTTACTTCTCCAGAGAGGTAGCCAGGCAGGTAACCCAGCCATTGTGACCCTCAAGGGTACCGCGAAGGACGAGCTGCTCAGCCATGTTGGGAGTCTGGGAGGAGAGAGGGATGAACGCGGGCGGAGCAATTGTCGTTGACTCTAGGCTGGAGATAAAAATCACAGCATTGAGGATGGAGTGGCAGACACTCAGCGTGCCCGCCTGAGCCCTAACTAGCGCGCCCAGCCCTTCTCGCCGTTGTGCGGTACCGCCAACCCTAACTCGTATAAGCGAGTCACGTGTATTTTCACCGCCTGCCTCGGCCGCTGACCGCCTATCGCCATCTATATCACTAGATATCCGGTTGAAATGTGAATGAACCCTCATTATCGAATAGCAATGCTTTTTATAACCCTCCCCTTATATCCCAGTAAAGCCATTCCGGTGTATAATCTGTACAATCTCGCCCACATATCATACAAGCCAACTATACAATTTCGCGTCACTTACACAACCCACCATGCCTATGGCAGCAGACTAGCAATGCTCACTTGTTGAACACCTGCACATTGGGCATACGTCCCAGTCCAGGCCCACCAGTCTTCTTGGTCTTCGCAGCATGGAATCCCGTGGCACTGTTATCCCGAACATGTTGACGCAGGAGTCGCAGCACATCGGAGTCGGCCCATCGTGACGGAACGGGCCGGTATGCAGCCTTGAAAGCACCAACCGTCTGCGCCCACTCGCCGCTCTTGGCTCCAGTACGCTTCCACGTCTCCGTGGGAGTATCCTGGGCACCTGCCTCAGTGGACACAGCAGCCTCATTGCCCTCAGCCGGAGGGTCCTGCGTGGCCCAGTAGTAAATATCCCAGTCATTCTCATCCAAGAACCGGTCATACTCCTGCAACTGCTCCTTGTTCATATCGGCCAGATAAACATCGGCGAACGTAGACAACAGGAGATCAGACTCGAGGATTCCGCGCTTGCGGCTCTGATCTATACAATTACCCAACTGCATTAGCTACTCATTCAACCAGGAAGACGTGAACCGGGGATCACGAACACAACAACCGAGCCCTCATAGTAGTGACATCTTCGCCCTCCCGGCGCAGAGGCTCAACCTTGAAAGTAATTCCCTCCATCTCTCCAACACCAAGTTCAGGCTTCTGAGCCCCCGTCTCCTGGCGACCTCCGGTGAAATGCTCGACTCTCCCGGGGTAAGGATCCGCCGGCCGGTAGTTGGGGTCGACCGAGTTCAACATCTCGGGGGGAGCCGGCTTCTCGCCGACCTTGGGGAAGTCCTTGGTCATGGTGGAGGTCGTGTTGGGCACATGGGGGTTAGGGGGCTTGTTTGTCTGGTTCTTGCGATGCTCAGGGGCCGTGGATGGTGCGCGATCATTGTTGTTCACGCTGTTTTGACGAACAACCGAGCTGCCGAAGGAGCGACGGGCAAAAGTTGTCGTCAGAGAGATCGGCGAGGTCGATGGCCGCATGAAGCGGTTGATGAGTCTGGGTGCGGACATTGTGATGTCGCTATGGTAATTGACAATGGTCTATAGAGGAAATCAAGGGGGAATTGGAGGTTTGGTCGCGATATCCTGGAGGAGGTCGACGATAAAGTAAGAACCGAAGCCGAAGAATGACGGGGTTGACATCATCCGGAGAAACCTCGTTTGCATTGTTTGCAGGCCTATTCGCCAACCGTCTCCGGCGCATTTCCAACGGCGGTTTGTTTGCTCCCCTTGCCTCGCTGATGTTGCTATGACTGCAGCATGTGGCACAGTGTGCGGGCTGCAATTGGCTCTCATGGTATCGTCTCCTATTGACTATTAGGGACTTCGATCTAGATTTACACAGGATCGCGCTAGCTGTCCATTTGCTAGCATGTTTGCATGCCTTGGTCGTGACACACTACAGCATTTACAGTATTGACGGTCTTTCAAGCTTGGGAAAATGGCCTCCCCTTATGTGGTTAAAGACGGCTAAAAATAAAGGAAACAATACCGATCACCAGCACCGTTGTACATGCATAGTTGTCATACTCCTCGTCAATATTCAATCAGTGTACCGTGAAGCAAATCCCGGAACTACATAGGGTCAAGACGATAATGAAATGCATTGAAAAGAAATAGTCCATATTTTGTCATGACAAGAGAGAAAGCATCAACCTGGAACCTTCTCTTTCTCACGATTCTAGTTTTAAGACGACATGGTCTAGATAAGATGCTTGGATCTACAAATCCAAAGCTGTTAGCCACATTACCCGAATACCAGACCCAACGGAAGAAGCGATAGAAAAGAACATACCTGAAGTAAGCCCTCAGATACACGACCTGCCAAGCACCCAATCCAACCAGCATACCCATAGTACCGAAAGCGAACCACTTCACACGCTCGTTCGTGCTCTCGTTGGTATCACGCAGCTTCTGCTCACGAGCGCGCAGGTACTCCATCTCGCTGACAATCTCGGCCACCATCTCTTCGATACGGCGGAGGTCGGTCTCAACAGGCTTGAGCTTCTCCTGAACCTGAATGCTAGACCAGTCACGGGCATCGGCACCAATGTCGACATCGAGCTCGATGGACTTGTAGGGGTTGGCAACGGCGTCTATTTGTCGTCTGGTTAGTACCACATACACACGCACATTACACAGCACCTGGTATCCCTGGCACATCAAGATACAACATGATCAAGGTAGATAAACATACGACGAGTGGTGAGCTGGTTGTCAAAGCAAACGTCGAAAGCAGTATCGGCGGGAGAAGTGAAGGCCTGACGAGTCTCTCCGGCAATGTCCTTAGGACGACCGTGGTCATTGCCCAGCGCATCCTTGATCTATTTCAGAAAAGAGAAAGCTAGTTAGCCCAAGTACATCCTTTTCCTTCGCGAGCGACAGAAGCTCAAGGTAGAATCGAACACCGGAGGACAACACAACAGCTGGCCCGACCAGCGTGCCTCCCGCAATCATCACAAAAGACGATGGAGTGAGTTCCCACATACATGCATGTTAACAACCTGGCCATCACCCTTGTTTCCGCTCACAATGGCGGTGACGACCACAAGCTGGTCCTTGAAAACGAAGTTGCGTATACATCGCTCGTTCTTCCCGCTCACAGCAGAGAGGTCGAACTTCAGGGCGGAGGTGAGTTGGACGAACAGGAGGAAGAGAAGACCGAGGAAAGACCTCATTGTGAGACGGGTGGCCGCCATTGTCAATGGCAGTTGTGGCAGTGGCCGAGGGGGAGGAGACTATAAATTGACAACGAGGCTCGGAAGCTGCTGTGCTGCTGCTATTGATGCCCGCCGCGCTCTGGAGACCGGGGATCCCGATCGGCCGGTCGAACGTTTCTCCGGATATCGGCCCACACGCCGGATCTATACAAATTACAGTCTTTGGAGATGGCATTACTACTCGAATCATTACAGCAAGGAGATTTGTTATTTGATGAATTCGTTGAAATTGTTTCTATCAACAACGTAGGCGATTTGGAAAGTCGAGTAATCTCATTCACAGGCCATAAAGTGGAACTCTCTTCCTGAGGATACTGAGTAAAATAGAAAAAGGCCCACACACTAGTGGATAGATAAAAGAAGAAATGTAGAGGGGGAATCAAGCGTGAAAAAGAAATACCGCTGGAAAGAGTGATACATCCAAGAGGTGCAAAGACAGACCGCAATCCAAAAGGGAAATGAAGAAAAAGAAGATGTGAGCGAAAGAGTAAAGCTCCAATATGGACAGGAAAAGGGCAAGGAAATAAAAGACAGTATCGTTCATCAGAGTTCGCCACGGCGAACAGGGCATGTCGTTTGCCTAACACATTATGATATCGTGTTCAAAGCAATGATTAGAGAGTGACAATGTAGAGAAATGGGACACAGGAGGGGAATAAAAATAAGACGCATTAATCAGTGAGGCACATTATGCCTCGACCTTCTTGCGGCGCATAAAAAGTCGCGAGAACCCCGAGTCCTTAGACTTGGTAGCAGCAGGAGCCTTGGTGACGGGAGGCTCAGGAGGTCCAGTGTTCTTGAGGAAATCAGCCAGTGCGCTGGTCTCGGTCTGTCGCACTGAGGGAGTCTTGAGGTCATAGGCGCCATTCATGGCTCCCGCATTGCGCTCCATGCCCACTTTGACGGTATAATTCGACGCTCCTCCCATGTAGTTATCGGGCTGTTGATGCAGCGAGGTCTTGGAGGGTTTCGCCATAAGTGTCTTTTCGGATGCGGTGTTGCGACGCAGCCGAGCCTTCACTGATGCTGAGCCTCGCCGAGAGTTCGCGGTGGCCGCCAAAGGCTGCTGTGGCGGAGTGGGCTCTGGCGGAGGGACATTGCGCAGGAAGTCGATCAGACTCTCCTCATCCCGTTTGGGCTTTGGCTCTTCAAGAAGTTCGTCGAGCTCGTCGTCATCGTCCAAGTCGATAGCGTAAGGGTCCGGCACACGACGTCTTGTCCGTGGCGGACGGTGGTCATCAGAAACGCTCACAGGAGCAGCAAATGTCGTCTTCGTTTCCTTGGCCAAGGCAGTCGGAGTGCTCGTCCGGCTAGTAGATTCCAGAAGCCCTGTGCGAGAGCCCACGGAAACCAGAGATGTCTCAGCCACTGACTGCGTGCTGGCCACTGAGGGGGCGCCCTTTGCAGTGCGGCCTGGCTCAATAGCCTGTAGCTCGTCCGAGTCCATGGTATCCCTGAAAGGCGCCACTGTCCGCGGGATACGATGAGCCCCAGCCGTTGGTGGGCCTTCCCGAATAAAATCAATCAAGTCGGACGTCTGATCGCCCCGGGGAGCCACAGCAGAACGGGCTTCCAGACGAGGACCGCTACGGGCAGAGTTGGCAACAGAAACAGTGCTACTCGCAGGTCGGGAAAGCTTCTTCGAAATCTCAGTGGCGTCAGACAACCGGCGCAAGCGCGACGACTTGGCAGGGCTACCATCAACCGTTGCTGGAGTGGTTGGAGTATTCGGCCCGGTAGACTTCAAGAAGTTTGCAAAATCACGGGTCGATTCCATGCTGTGCTTTGCGTCCCGAGCCTGTCCGACAGCCGGTTTCTGCTGTAGGCCCGTAGTGGGAATTTCGATGGACTTGGGTTTCGACTGGATGTACTTGGGTACTGGTGGAAGGTCCACCGTGCTTTTCGACGATGTAGTTGAGTGTCTCGACCGAGACATGTCATCTGGAATCGGCTCAACGCTCTTTGGCAGGTCGGTCGGATCAGTACTTGCTTGCTGAGCACGCCATCTAGGTGAATCCGGCAACTAGTTCAAGGTATTAGCAATAGCAGATGGGGGAAAAGGGAGAACAATTGCTGACTCACCTCCATTTCCCTCATGCTCCTGGGGGTCAAGGTGAAATGGATAGTTTCCTCGCTCCGGATCAACTCGTCCAAGCCGGACGTGTCGTCGTAAGCCGACTCGCGTGTCGAGACCCTGCTCACCTCAGACGAGGTACGGAGACGAAGCGAGCCCGTATCTGCAGGCCGACCGATAAGACCTTTCAACTTGCTCGATACCTGAGAAGTAGTAGAACCCGCTGTGACAGGACGCTTCTCACGGCTGCTGCTGAAGCTGCCCGAGCGACGAGACTTGGAATAAACAGAAGACGCCACAGAGGTGGACGGCCGTGCCGGCAATCGCTGGACTGCGGCGCGTTCGACGCCGGAGCTGACGGAGGCTATCCCTGGGCTCGAGCGCCCGTACTGATGCTGAACCCCGGGTACGGACGAGCCGCGTTTGCCAGGCAATGACCGTGAAGAATCCGAAATTGCGCTCTCTCCAGAAGTTGAAACAGGCCGGGATGCTTTCTCTACAGCGGTGTCCTCTGCAGAAGATGGAACAGTTGGAGGGGTAGAGTCCTCGGGAGTAGACTGGTCACAATCAGCAGCCTTGGACGCATCCTGATCGGCGGCGGCGGTGGGTTGTGCCGGGGTGGAGTCCACAACCCCCTGCGTCCGGGGCGCGAGAGGCCCAGGGGCAGTTTCTACCCCAGGGGCCAGTTGAGCTTTTTCAACTCTCTCATGTTTCTCAACCTCGTCAGTTTCTGGGTAATCACGGTCGCTCAGAGAAGGTGACGACACTGGGGTACTACTAGCGTCACTCATTGCTACCTCGACCGATGCGACCGAAGTGGACGGAGTCGCGGCGGCCCCCTGTCCAGCGCTAGGAACCACCGGTTCATTTTGTTCAACGGCCTCTGGTTTAGTTGCCGCTTCACCGTGCCGCTCGTCGTCCTCGTCATGCTCGTACATCGTCTCCAGGCGTCTTCGCTCCTCCGATGGAGTAGGCGACGTGCGCTCGGCGGGCTGCTCAACTTCGGAGGGTTGTTCATCCGCGGGAGCAGTATTGGGCAAAGACCTTGACCGAACATGGCGCGGAGATTTGATGTTAACCAATCTTGGCGTGATAGGAGAGTTCCCATTCGATGAGGGCGATCGTGGTGAGGGTAGTGTCAGCACCATAAGGCTATGGGGTCGAACCTTATGAGCTACTACAGCCTGCATCGTCTGGATGTCGCCAGTGTCGAGCTCCGGAAGGAAGCATGGGATCTCAATCTCCTGGATGTCATGCTCACTCATCGGCAGCGGGACGGAGGCCGGGTCAACTTCATCCTCAGTCTCCGGGAGCGGCTCGTTCACGGATCGCGATGATGCTGTACGCGGCGAGATCTCGTCGATTGTGATAGCACTGCTTTTTCTACTGCCGGGCCCGAAAACTAAGCTCTGGCGATTCCGTAGAGATTCCCTTGACACCGCTCGCGACAAGTTGCTTCCTCGCACACGCTTCCTCCAAGTCCGCCAAAGTCTGCCCAGGGTGGGGTTCAACGCCAGCCTCTCCATGTCGTGGTCTTCCACGACCAGTCGGTCCATGCTTGCCCGATTCGCACCCGTCCCTGCCAAATCATCTTCATCCTCAAGGTTTGCTGATAGCCTAGATCGAGCTATCTCACCCGCGATGATAAGAGCTTGCTCCCCCATGTGCTCAATGATGGAGGTAAGAAAGATCGAGGCAGCAGGCGTGATGTGACCGACATGGCTGGCGAGCCTGCGGAGGCCACCTCCATCTTCGCCTATGATTTCCTGGTTGATATATTCCTCTTCGTCGTCTTCTTCCATATCTCCCAGCCGCGTGTAGACCATGCACCGCAGACGGGTCAGCTTCCAGGAACGCACAAGGTCGAATTCCCCAATCGAGGTTTGGCCGCTACGGAACTCCAGCTGCTCGTCTTCCGGTCCACCTAGGTATTCACTTAACTCGTCGTCAGCTGCCGAAACCATCTCCTTGGCAAGTCGAGGCTTTAACACTTCGGCGACGGCGGGACGAATCTTGACCAATTGGGTGGACTTGGCGGCAGCCAGGATGTTGAAGAGAATGTTGTCGAGGAATGCATTGAGAGAAGAAAGAGCTTCAGGGGTGACAAGCGCACTCGCACTGGAGTCATGGCCTTCATCGTCGGCTACAAAGTCGGCGGCGTTGAACTCTTGGTCGGCAGTAATGATTTGAGCGGCCGCAGATGAGGCGATATACGAGGGCGCGGGGATCACTGTTGGGGGAGCGAGAAAATGGGAACGGGAGAGCTGCGAGTCACTGGACATGCTGGTGCTGCGCGAACGCGAGAGCGTCCGTCCCAGCTCGTGCGATTCGAGTCCCTTGTTGTGCTGCATGATTGAACCACAGGGTCATATATCGACCCCGATAGCGCGCACAGGGTAGTAGGTATTAAAGAAGTAGGATAGAAAGTGAACGACTCGGGGTATAATCTCGGAGGTCAAAGAGAATGGCCAGAAAGAATAGGGAAATAGCACGCTAGATCATCCTAGAAGTCATAAGGCATAAGCATATCTTCGTCAGCTTTTCCAACAATACGACCTCCGATGCACAGCCTAGTTTGGGGGCCTTTTGCTTGATTCGCCTTTGCGCAGTCTGCCTTCTGAACGGATGCCGTAAGATGGCGTCGGACCATCCCAGACTATCAAAAGCAAAAACAGAAAGATGACTGTGGGGGAGGGCGCAATGAGCAGCGAAGGCGCGAAGAAAAAAACAAAGGATGACCGAAGCAAAGCGAGGAATGGGGAAAAAAAAAGAAAAATAAGAAGTACAGAGTACCAACGGGGTGGATGCAGGGCAAAATAGTGTCGCGACTAAGTAGAACGTACCCGGAGAAAGGAACCAATTAACAGTATGTCGGGGTCATGTCGATAAGACGCGGAAAGGGATCTGAAGGAAATCGATTCCGAGAGATCAATAAAGAACTGAACGGAAGTGGAAACTCATTAAAGAGTTCTATAGAAGAGAGGAGGAGAAAAAGGAGAGAGGGAAAGAGAGAGAGAGAGAGAGTGTGTGTAGTATGTGTGTAAGAAAGAGAGTAAGTGAAAGGAAGAAAGGAAGAAGGAAGAAAGAAAGATCTGGAATAGATGTTGGTAGCTGGGGGAGATGGATTTCAGGAGTAACAGCCAGCCAGAAGATCCCGTTGCAATGAGAGTTGCTTTGCTTTCTCACTGTCTCTTGTCTGTCTCTCTTTACTACTACTAGTCTCTAGCTCCCCATTCAGACCCGAGAAATGAAATGTTTAGTGAGTTAGGATTGTCTAGTATTACTGACTATTACAATTACAGACTAACTGGGCGAGTTAGTACCACTTTAGTCTTTTTTTACTCGAAGCAAAATCAGGAGAGGTGGATCCCACCCTTTTCCCTCCCGGAGGAAGAAGAGAAAGCAGAGGCAAATGAGGGTCGAGGGGGAAGTGGAGCAGGGGGAGATTGATGGGAGGCGACGGTCGCTATGAACGGTGAAGACTAACTTGGGATTATCAAATCTTGCGGTGGAAAGTCTTATCCGTACTTTGAAGGGGATGGGCTGGCAATCATCTCCGGATTCTTGAAAGTTGTACCAGTTGTACCAGTTGCATTTAGTACAAAAGTATATTGGAGGTGTTATCTACAAAGTATCATCTACCAGACCAAATGGAAATGATTTGATTTGACTTTGGAGAGCATTAGACTCACCACGAGTCGGATGTCTCCAGGCACGAGCGGGTTGCCGATCTTGCCACTCGGACGGTGAATGCAGTGCGTGTGTGTCATACAACAACAACAACGTGGTACTATTGGGATCTTTCGGCCGCCATGAACCATGGATGTCCTTCCAGCAGCAGAGGGACTGTTGCTCTAAGAAGCAGCTCAACTGCCTTAGGTGACCAAGCCTTGATTTATTGATGGAGTAATACCTTGGTTGGATGAGCAATAGTAACAACCGTGGCTTAAAGACCGTTGGAAGAAGTCCATGAGCTATTTTTCCTTTTTCTTTCCAGAGAAGCAACGAAGGAAAAGGCAGCGAAGCCCCCAAGAAAGACAACGATCTCCAGAAGCCAAACCGACTAACAAATGCGCCCCACTCAGCCTTCGAAACAAAACCCTAAAACCGTCCGACTGCAGGAAAGGGGCGCTACTGTACGTCTGTAACCGCTTAACCGACCCGTGTTGGCCTGCTTGGCCACGCCGCCTCCAGGTTACTCTCGTCTTAGGCGAGGTTGGATGTCACTAGTAATTCTCTGGACTTTAATGAAAATGGAAGGTCTCTGAGAGTAAAATTATCCGTGATGTTCCTGAACGAATTTCCTGGATTCCCCCTCTTCTTCTCTCTCCTCCCTCTGCCTAAAGAATAGTAACAAAGAGACATGCCACGGTTGAGCCCGTCTATTGGCCGTACCAGATTTCGGCTCCTCATATCCTTCCCGAAAATACTTATCCAGACCCATCCAACACAAGGTCAAACTCTGATTTCCGACTATTAAATCCAATCAATACCCCTGGGCCGAAGCGGAAGGCAGCCGTGCCAGGGCCAATGGACATGGGATCCACCCCCCATAACCACGGGCATCCCCTCCCCCCTCTTCCTCTTTCTTTCACCTTTTGAGACTCTGAAGAATTAGAGATGAGATGAAATGGTACTTCTTTCGAGAAATTACGCAATGAGGCTCGAAAACAAGGGTCCCGTTTCCTTCCAGAAATGCTAGGCATTCCTGTCAACCCACCGTGTAGCCGTCACGGACTTCATACAAGCAAAAGGGATGACGACCGAGACGAGGTCGCAAACATCAGAATGGCGATCTTTTGAACGGAACTGACAAGGTAGATCATCGGTGGGTAGTAACGACAATAATGCATGAGCGTACTGCATGACTCTCCAGCACACGCACACAAGTTCTCCATATCTACCCCATACGCTACTGAATTGCCATATGAGGCTAAAGGACGCCCTGACAAATCTTATATGACTATTCGGGACCACAAAAATCCTCCGACCTTCCTTCTCAGTATTAAGCTGCTGGGAAGCACAGGGCATATCCCTCTTGGATGTGCCGTCCCCGAAGTCACTATGGAGTAAGTACTAAGTCTATCTTCTTGCTATTTATTCCTGATCCCTGCAATCCGGGTAAGTAGTTACTAGATACGAATTAGGTAAAAAGCCAAAGATTTGAAATACCATTTCAGGGACACCCACCAACACCATACCCCACCATCACGCGATCGAATAACCATACATACAGCATCACAGGAAACATCCAAAAAATCTCCTCTCCGTGCCATCCTAGTGGACCGATCCCAGTACCCAGGCATGCTCAGTCATGACCATTGGTAGACAGTGGCCTCCGTGGTTCACACATTCCGTGGTTCGGACGGCCCTCGATATAGCCGTTCCGGGTAAGTCCTCGGATAGTTAATCGGGTACACCAGGGGACGCTGGTCTATGATTGGTTTCCGACTACAGGTTTTAATCTATCTCGGATATGGTCGCTATACCCACTTTGTCTTTCTCTCCGCTGAGTCCGTTCAGGTCCCAGGTTCAGCTCAGCCCAGTCGGGTCTAGTTGAATGGGGAAATATCCACGTAAAACTCCAGCTGAGACCACACTGCATGACTCAATCAGTGGCTATATTAAGCGATGGGGGTCGATAGTAAATGGGAAGTCCCAATAGGCTGGAAATATACGGTAGGTACATACTCTATATCGACTCATCCATTAAGAATATGCTAGTTAGCACACATATTCTCCCAAGGACCATCAATCGAAAGAGACTAATAGTCTAAAGTAGCGGGGGTTAAGCTGTCAAATTGGTGCCAAGGACTTGGAACAAACTGAGACGATGCGATACAAGAGAGTTCTAGAACATGAATTGATCAATGAGTGATTCAGCTATTGACTTGGCTTTCTTCTTTTCAGCTGCGTCTAGATCCTTTATCTATCAAATCAAACAGTCGACAATCAACCTGAGTCTAGACTAGAATACAATCCCCACGGGAGACCTCCGATCCTGGCACCTTCAGCCTGGTAGCAACAACAGCAACTGCATCTCAATCACACCAACCACATCACAGCATCACCTCGTCCTATGCCATGCATCCTAGCGCCGCGGGAGTGGCTGTTCAATAGTCAAAAGACTATTATCCAGTTAGACTACCCCCATGTCGCATAATAACGGGATGAGATCAATACTACTTGCTGCCCAACCATACCTACCCCGAAGATCTCGAATGCACACCCAAGCAGTGACATCGACGGACGTCTCCAGCTGATGAGATCTCCACTACTATCTACCCAAGATCGCCACGATCTAGACCTCTAGATAACCATAACTGGCTGCTCTGTGCACAAATCACATTCCCATGTAGTACTATGCAGTTGGCCTTGAGTCCAAACTAACCCCGCAATCACTCACTCCCTAGCCCGCACATGCTCCTGTGTAGCGTGCAAGGATTGTCGTGCTTTGTATTATGTTGAAGTAACTGATCAAGTACTAGAGTTGAGGTTCTGGTTCTACAAACAACGAGATATACTCCGATACAGTGGACTGGCTGCTACCCATTGAACCTACTCAGTATTAAGTACTCACCAGTTTAATCGAATATGTCCCCCTGTACGCAGTATCTACAGCATGTGAACCGTCCATCCCGATAGATACCCGTGTGTTGGGCACTGTCACACAGCCCAGCCCAGTCCATCCGCCACGATAGGCAAGGGATTCCAGCAGCATCATCCATTGCAGGGATTAGAGGGACGATCGTTCGATCGTTCGATCGATCGCATGTGCGTGTGCGTGTGTGCCACATCCTGGCACAGCTTGCATGGACACACCACAGTAAGTAGAACCAAACCCGGTATACACAAGTACAAAGGAAATGGACTCAAAGTCCGAACCCCGACCGATCAGACCAAGCACAGTCGATGGAATGGATGATGACTTGCATATGGTCCCCATCTCATGCTAGCCAACTTGACATGTTACTGTATGTGCTGTGCTCCACACTGGCTATGCTGTAGGTAATACAAATAGCAATCAACAATAGAAACAAAAGAAGCACACTAGAGTGTATTTAGCATAGAACAACACAGCATTCCAACCAACTCATCACACTTTCATTAAAATCATACGATCTAACTGGCTCGGTGGAGGCGATGTGGCTTCGGTAACTAAGATGTTAGTACGAAGTTAGTTGCATGCATACTAACACAAGTAGTCTAGTCAATACTTGACTGGCTATAGGCGAATTCCGTTTTCCGTTCATAAGGCAGTTTAGATTAACTAATTAATCCCATCTCCAGGCTCCTTTATTTACCTAATTTAACTATGGGTTAGTTGCAGCCTGTTTGGTTTGACTGTGGCATGGCTGATGCATTGAGTCATTTGCTGCTGCGGCCCACTGATCTGATCTGATCTGACATCAGCTCTGATCTGTTGGAAGTCAGTAGTTGTTTCTTCCAATGAAAATAAACTGGTGACTATGCCGTAGTCAGTGTAAGGGAGTGACTAAGTAAGCAAGCAAGGATTTGCTGACATGCACTCACTACTTTGCGCTAATTAGAACGGGACTGAAACTCGGAGGTAAATGGCCCATGTCATACCGAGTACTCTAACCTAGACTACTTGCCGGTAGTATTGTTTGGCCCCCAAGCGACCGGTTTCACGGCAGGTCCGGGTATCACTCCCCAAGCCTCGTGTTTCAGGTCAGGTGAATATCCACCTCCCCCGTCTTAAGTACTTACTATGCCTGTAGTATGACAATGTGTGTTACAGCTGGACGGGCTGTGCCTTGCTTGATGGACAAAACGTTGTTTCAAGACTGACAGGGAAATTTTGTTCAATAGCATCGTATGGCATATGATTGACACTTCTATGTTTCAGGTACTGTTCCGATGATGAGACAGTATTCTTCTGGACGGCCCGGGTCGTGTCTATTGCCTTCTTTGGCTGGTAAAATTCACGACCTATGACCTTTGGTATGGGGAGAGGCACTTTCAGTAATAGGCACTTTTTATTTCAATGTCATACTATTGATAAAAATCATCAGGACTATTGAACCCCGCTCATGAGCTTTTGGTAGGAATCGGTCGTGCCGTGCAATGGCACACCGTAAAAAGAAAATGACAAGCAAAAATCAATATCTGGGCCAGTTCCAGTTTTCAAATTCTTTTCATCCGTCATGTCATCATGTTTTGTATGATCTTTGACTCTAGTGGACCAAAAAGCCATTCCAGTTTTCCAGTGCATACGCAACACCACTGGTGAAGAAGCTAAGCTCGTCTGGCCCTACATCGGTGTCACACGCTAGTCTTTCGGAGAGTAGATTCTCGATCTTGGCCAGCAAGTCCTTATTATGACTTCTACCGGCTCCCGAGGAACGCTCTGAGGCGCCTTCTCCATTGACGAGGCTGGCAAGTTCTCCAAAGTCCTCTTTGGCAACTATGTTGCGGAAAAGCCCAATGACGTGATTCAGCACATTGTCAAAATAGGTCCCGCTGGCACTATCTAAGTCCAAGTACGGCGAATCCAGGCGACCGATGTAGAAGTCATTCGCTTGTTTGCGCAGGCGGGCTTTGTATTCAAGATCAGGGATCCCATTTATGCCATTCATGTAGGCGAGGAACAGCCTCTTGTCCAGGTCGACGACGTCACTGGTATGCTCTTCAGGCAGCTGTTTGATCGACTCGAGCGTACTGCTGAATTCGTCATCCTCAATATCGTCGACGTCCAGGTCGTCGACTGACTCCTTGAACCGGAGTGTGCCAGATGCCAGTGCACGTTCCATGAGCTCGTGGCCAGTCAGCTCTGCATCACAGTCTTCATCATCGTCCAGAGACACTGGAGCATCGATATAGCGTATGTTTGTGTCAAATCGGACCATAGGTCCAAAAGAGATGAAAGATCCATCCAAGGATTCGGAATCGTCTTCGTCACATATTCGGACATTATATCGGATGCGTCGTCCCACCCCGAGACATGGTACATATCATCATCGTCGTCATCACTGTCTTCGAAAATCGCATCGTAGTCGTATTCCGAGTTTTCCGATGCATAGCCCGACTCTGATTCCTCATCTTCTTCGATTTCGGAATACGGTCTTTTCAATATGGGCTTCAAAAAGGAACCAAGAGACGGTTCGGTTGCAGTCACCGGGCCTGAGACACCAGAGGTGTTCGAGGTGGTTTGCTTGGTCGACACGACAGAGACTTCGTCCGAGGCATAGCAACTGTCATGAGAGATCGATACTTCAAGTTGAGAAAACGTTGAAGAGAGAGACTCCCATGACTTTTTGTTCATGTTTTGTGGGCTCATTTTGGTAGAGGCCTTTGGCAGAATAATCTGGTCAAAGAAAATTGCCAACAGCGGCAATGACCAAGAAGATCCAAAGCAGACTTGACAAAGAGATTCCCACTCGCACTCGTAGCGACTGGGATGAAGAGAAGTCAATTGCCTTGGGCGAAAAATGCAGAGAGGAGATTTTTGGATTTCAAATAGTGGCTTCGAAGGCCTCCAAATGGTTTGAAGGAATCCATGGTGAAGCACAGGCGCAAAGGTAGTAGCCGCCTAGTGAGAGCCGAGAAGGCCCTTAACCAGAATAACCTCGCAAAACATTATGGATATCTGTAAATTCACTTCAAGTTGGGGGATAGTTTTGAGTCAAGACGCATGCGCGTTTGGTTGTTGGTAAGGTTCTTGGCCGAGATATACGGTTTAAGCCCTTTCTTGCCCTTGAATACACGTTCGATTTCGATGGAGTGTCTGACGTGATACATATAGACTGCTGGGTCGTCTGTGAACTCGGTTGTTGAGTTGAATGAGAAGGCGCAGTATTTGATGCTAGGCAAATACCGCGACGCGTTGAATAGTGCTTGGGTAGTATCCGTCAACTCTGCGTGAGGATGACGGCGTTATGGGCTCCGTTCGGAACTTGGCTGGGTGCTTTGTTCGTAAAGAGGGGCAATAACCGATGGCCGATGCCCTGGCGCTATAATGTCATGCCCACTTTTCGTGGGGATACGAGTGGTGCAACGGGAGGGGACGAGGGGTAAAGAACAGAAATTCGTTGAGAGACAGTCCCTCAAAGGAAGTTCAGGTATGATAAGTCTCGACGACTGTACGCCGAGAAGTGTCTAGAATGGATGAGAAATAGCACAGTAACCAGTGCTGGGGTGGAAGAAAGGGATGGGAACAAGGCGAACCTCGCGGGTGTCAGTCAGATTTCCGTCATCACCACATGACCTTGGCCTTGTTGCCTCCCTTTCCTTTCCTTTCCTTTCCGGCGCTGCCATCGGGCCGATCGCGGAATGCTCCTTTAGGTCTAGCTGTTGCGGCCGAGTCTCGCTATTTCCTCCAATCAGCGCTCGTCACTACTCGGCTCGGAGCTGCGAGTAATTCCGTGCCGGAGTCTCTACGTGCCGCCGGTGAGTGTTTCTCATCATGGGTGGGATGCTGTGTACACTTGAGGTAACATTGATTGTCGACATTTCACTGCTGGAGCTGGCCTCTTCGCTTAGATATCCTCTCCATCCATGTTCCTGGGCTCTAATCCATATCTGGCTTCTTTCTCCACCCCAATCCAAAGCTGGTGGTTTACTTTTCTTTGAAAGAGAGTCAGTCCTTGTCGAGGGGACCGCGGCACAGTGACTTCCCGAAAAGGAAATAAGCGGCACTACCGCTTGCCTTTGCTACAATGCCCACCATCTTCGTCCGACTTTCATAGTCGAGAATGACTTACAATTGATCAGAGAATCTATACTCCACACTTAGCAACACTCCATGCTCGGTTGTCTATGTTTAGGTGTTGGTATGCTTAACGCACTAAAAGAAGCTGGCCCTAGAAATTCTTCTGGGTGGCTTTCTCGACTTACTGTACCTGCCAGAACGACGGTTTCGGCGAACCCCTGATAAGACATCTTCCAAACCACCACTTGCCTTCAACGTCTCTCGGAAGTGCGTGGCCTTGCCCCGATCGCCTGTCGTTCGTAAGCCTAAGTATTACGAACCCCAGCTCCACCAGATGCTGAGGATTCGGGACAAAGAAAGGGCAACTTGGCCAGGGAAATGAGACGGCCTCGCTTCTGAGACGAACTTATGCTGCACTAAACTCTCAATAGACTGGCGAATCATACTATCTATCTTGAGACAAGAAACAAAGAAATCGCGATGAAACATCACACTTAGAGTTCCGACCCTCGCAAAGCCGAATCTACGATACGGACCGCCTATTCTTCAGCGTAATCCAAGGCCAATGGGTACAGAGCTCAGCACACTCACTGAACGTGTAGGCCAGAGCTGAATGCGAATAGCTATGTCCTCCCTCCTTCGCCAGGACTTCAGCCCGTGAAGGGGGATAATTATAGAAACTCGTGTTAAACGACGAGTTAATCTACAGATCTAAGAAGAGGAATTTTCTTTCTTTTTTTTTGAGCTAATGCTTAATGCAAAAAGCATACAGGAGGGGCTTCGATCCAGGATGCCAAATCCTTCTTTCCACGCATTGTTACGGGGGGTGTGCATTCTTGCTAGGCCCAGCATTCCAATGTTCAGGCCACCCAGCTCACCAACGGTAGCTCAATGAGTACCCGAAGATCATTAGCTCCACCATGCGGGAAGAGCGTGGAGCAAAGGTTCGGTCGGGGAAATTTAGTGCAAATCATTTGAGGCTGCTATCCTACGTATACGACTCAGGATGAGCCAAAGCAACCCAATGACGCTTACACTCAGGTGTCAGTCAGCCCGTTGAGCCCCCTCTCCACGTCGTCCCTTGACGCGTCGAGCCGTCGAAGCCGGTCGACCTCCATTGTGACACTCATAGTTCGATCCAGCCTCGACATCGATTATCAAACAATGGCGAGGTCGGTGTCATTGGCTCAGTGCTCGCTGGTTCCTCTGAGACCCGCCCATATTCGCCCTGCTGATACCTCTGCACCCTGTTTCTGGCATAGTAAAGGTTGCATTCCCGCGGGTGGCCATCAGTGCTCCGAGCCCACTGGGTAGAGGGTGTCTGGCAGTGGATGGCACGAATCAGCCACCGACTTTGCACTCCTCCTGATTGGCGACAATGGCTTGTGGGAAAGGCATGGGCCGTTCTGCTCGGGCAATTGGGATGGGGTGGGCCATATCGAGGGGCTGCGTATTCCTTGATGGCACATTCCCTGCCTATCTTGCCCTTGTTGAGAGCTCTTGGAATGTGCACAGAATCCAGCGGAGAATCCAGAGGCTGGGGCCCATCGTAGCAATTCAAATAGGAGCCCTCTGTCTGTTGTTTGTTTGCTTTGTCTACTTTGCATTTTGTGCACTGTTTTCTTCGATTGTCAACTCGTCAAACTGTTCCAACACTGCCAGTGCATTCCATCATCACTTCAAGCCATCGTCATCACCACGGCCATTCTGGACGGATACTCGGCTAGCTTAGCCGTCCCTTACTTTGCGTCAAGCTTTCCTCTGCGTCAAGCTTCTGTGCTTCCGCGGCCTTCGTCGCCAGTCATATCTACTCGGCCCAAGTGTTCGTTGGGTCGACCTTTGACAGCTACTCTGGTCGTCGCCGCAAACGGAAAGCGGCACCCCGTCTGGCACAATGTTCGCCCAGCAGTTCGACCATTCCTTGAATGATTTAGATTTATTTAATCAGTACGTCAATATGGACAGCTCCAGTGTGGATGGCAACAAAGATGTTTCATTCCCTGGCGATCTTGACCAAATATTTCAGCTTGAGTCATTGTCCAGCGACTTTGGCGAGCACTCTCCGGCCATCTCCACATCAACAGCGCAACCCCATCAGCAACCAGCCCAAAACTGGAGTAAAGACTTTTGGTGTCTGCCCCAGAACGCGGACTCTTCTACCGGCCAAGGCCAGAATTTCTCTCTACAGGATACCGTTCATCCATCTGCCGTTTCTGAGCTGGGTGTCAACTACGAAGCTCCGCCGACAGCGTGCGCTCCGGAAACCCGCCCTTCTCCATCGACTACTCCAGCAACCCCTAGTCGTAAGACCACCAAAAGTGCTGTGACTACGCCCAAGGTGATACGTCGTCATCGCGAACCTAATGATCGTCGTGGTCCGCTGCACAAGCAGAGCTTCTCCCCAGGCATAACACGCTCCACTCAACCCCAACGGAATAGAATGGCGTATCCTGAAGCCTGGGCGCAGCGATTCAACAACTTCAGCTTTCGCAGCTCGGATGAACGCTTGCCACTGTCACCACCACCTTCCGACATTCTCGTTCAACAGGAGAATATGGCTGCAGACAATTCTGCCGTCCACCTAAACCGCACCGAAGCACTACCCAAGGCATCAGCTGAAATGCCTCCTCAATATGACACCAGCATCTTCAACCAGTCGCCCGCTATCTCCATGCCTTCTCCGTCGACAGCTGCGCTAGCGGGGCAGCCCCCGAGATATTTAAGCCAGTCCAGCGGCTCGGGGTTGCCCACCTCGAGCCCCCCTTCGGCTGACGACATCTTCTCCTCCCCACATTCTTCAGGGCCTCAGTCCATGTCTTCCTGGCATTCCGACTCTCTTGGCTCTTCTGGGATTCCATACAGCACCCCCGATCTGAGTGGACAAGATGGCCAAGCATGGTGGTCGCCAATGGCTTCAAGAGTCCCACAGCGACAGCCTTCATATCAGCAGATGGTGGCGTCCCCAGCTGCACAGAGACCGATCCAGAACTCTGCAAGTCAGAGTGACATGCTGCAAGGGGGCCTTATGATTCAACTGGACCCCTCGTCATACGACCTTTCAAACACACATTCGTCATTCCCCTCGTCCGGCCTGCCTTCCGCTCCAAATGGTCATGAGAGCCGCGCCTACATGCAGCCCACTGCATCGTCAGTGGATTCATCGTCTTTCGTCACCCCGCAAATTCCTCCCACCCACTCACGCTCCCCGTCGCTGTCTCCTGGCTCGGGCTCACCAAAGAGTGGAAGCATGATGCACAACGGTCACCGGAGGTCATTCCAGCGCCAGAGTATAAACCGAAAGCTTTCCTCCAATTCAATGAGCGCACCAAAGCCAGTCAAGGGCCTCCATAGTTCATCGGGCAGTCCAAAGGGAGGCAACAAGTCCGTCACCGTATCTTTCGTGAATTTCACCCAGAATGACTCCAAGAGGATTCTCACTGGTGTCGCACCCAGTGGCAGCTCCAAGACCAAGGCACGACGCGAGCAAGAAGCCCGCGCTCGACGCCGCGAGATCAGCGAGGCTGCCTTGCAAGCCGTCCGGAGTGCCGGAGGAGATGTTGAAGCTCTGGAGGCCATTCTATGCTGATATCATATGTAATAGTAATACTCACATGTCCATCCAGTGCATCGCTCGTTTGCCAGTATCCGTTTGTTCGTCATTTGTGTTCTGCGGCTAGCCAGTTTTTGAAAGTTCGTTATACCATTCGAGAGTTTGTTTTTATTACTTTATCTTATTGTCTGTTTGTTTCATTTCCCGATACAAGGCAACGGTCGTTTGGGTGTTCGTCTGTCAGTTTTGCTTTTTGAGCCGAAAAGGACTTGGAGTTGTATTTCACTAAAAGCGTTAGATTGGCGGGCATACGGGTTCTATCAACCTCATACTAGTTGGATATAATCTATACCACTAATACTGCATTCTTGAAACATGTTGGCACGGAAGCGAGTGATTTTGTATACATGCAGCTAGGTGGCGACACCGAAGAAATCAAGCACCTTTGCTTTCGACATACCTCCCCGTCCACAAGAGGGCTTATTAATGTTCGCCTAACAATGACCTGGTAGATAATTTCAGTTACAATAATGTACATAGGTTCATTCATATTACAGTAATAGTTCGTAATATACAAGAGATGGGAGTTTTCTAAGCCAGAGCTCTAGATGGCCGAGAATCATGGGAAACATCCTATCCCGTCACTGATCACCAAAAAATGTGATGTCTCTCATCGACAGATACTTTGTTTCGCAACTGTCTGTGATGTTGCTCCGACGACAACAACGAAACACGGCCAATCACCTTTCTCCCTATTTCTGGCGTGTTCCGCATTTCGGGAACGGACGGCAACCTGGCAAGGCAACCCCAGATGTGCCTAATTCAGAGGTGACGAGTCTGACATGCACAGTACGCGTTTCAGATTAGAAGCGAGAGAACGGAGGGCCCAGATACGAAGTAATCAAGCCGAGCTGCTGCATTTCTCCACCTCACTCACTTCAGACACCTCACTTACTCATCTCTTCGACGCAGTCGGGCTCCACGAATCAGGCTGCCACTTCTGACCCGGAGCGCCTGCCGCCGCCTTCGCCCAGGGGTCATCCTTCTTCGCAGCCTCCGCCGTTGCCGTCTGCGTATCCTCCGAAGAGCTTTTGTTTGCTTGGGCTACCGTCGCATCACTCGTGTTGGTGGCGGGGAGCGGTTGTTGTTGGGTTTTGGGCATATCCAGATACGATGCTTTGCTGGCCCAGCGTTCATCGGCCAGACGGGCTAATTCCTTGATTTGCATTTGTCGGATGATGTCTTGTTGTTGTTCTTGGATGGACGGGGGGTCTGCGCGGACGTAGCGAAGCCATTGGTGCCATTGGGCTGTAGTTTTCCGGGGGTGCGTTGTCAGCTGTTGTTGTACTATGAGAAGCATAGGTAACACTTACGGCTCACTTGGACATCGGCGAGGTGGGTTTTCGGATCGGTTTTAACGATGCGGCGGAAGCGGCCAGCGTTGAGTTGGTCTTTGAATTCCCAGAAGGTGTTTCCGCGTAGGTCGGTGCCTGGGGTAGGGGGGTTGTGTTAGGAGGGTTCCTAGGGAGCTATAGATGGAAGATGGCAGATGGGCTTACCGACGAGGAAGGACCTGCGCCAGGGTAGGCGAAGGCTCTTCCACTTGAACCAGAGACTGTTGATCGGACTCATTGAGGGATTGAAGTGAGGATGGTGGTCGATCGAAGGCTATGCGATCTAAATTGAGGCAGTGCAGTGGTGGTGAAGTTGCGCAGAGGGAGAGGAAGATGTTCCGATCATCGAAATGATGAAGCCGAGATGAATTGAAGCGGCGATGATTGGGCGGTGATCGACACCTCAAGCATCAGGCAGACAGGACGTCATCGGTAAGATTGGGCGGTCACGGGGCGTCAATACGGTATTGTTCTGGGCGTTTCTTTTCTATTTCGGGCCTCGAGTTCGATTTCCATTCCACGCCGCATTGCCTTGCGCCCTCCAACTTTGGCTTCGTTGCTTTTGTTTTGTCTCTGCCTCTTCGGTTAATTCTCTGCATTGATCCCTCATAATCCCCGGTGATCTGTCTTCTCATCTCCTCCCCTTCCAGTTCATCCAGACCCTGATTGATCTTCCGGTTCATCCGCCCTCACATAAGCCTCGTCCCCCTCCTGAACCCCTGTGACGTACTGCCGGTTCGTCCCACCGGAAGCCACTATAAACACCCACTCCCCCTATTTATTTCGTATTTTTTTTGCGCCCAAGCTACCTAACAGTCCTATAAATTCGTCTGCATGTCCCAGACACTCTGATTGAGACGGCTCGAATTTCAATATGGCCTCCGTCACTTCGCTTGACAAGGACTTGCGCAGTCTGCGCTTGTCCCGCTATACCCCGCAGGCAGCTGCGGAAGTCCGCGACTGGATTGAAGAAGTGTTACACGAAAAACTCCAGCCAGGAGATCTCCTGGATGCTTTGAAAGATGGCGTTGCACTCTGCAGGTGAGATGAGGACTATTCTGTGTCGATCTGGGGGCGTTCATGGACACTAACAATGTTGCAGGCTAGTCAACTTGGCCGTCTCCCCCGGCGTCAAGTACAAGCAGTCCTCGATGCCCTTCGTGCAGATGGAGAACATCTCTCACTTCCTTCGCGCATGCCAAATGCAGCCCATCAGCCTCCCTCCGCACGATGTTTTCCTGACCGTCGATCTCTACGAAGCCAAGGACCCCGCACAGGTCCTACAATGTCTCACATCTTTCAGCCGCCGGGCCAATGCTCTCCAGCCTAGCAAGTTCCCTCGCGCACTCGGCCCTCAAAGCAAGGCAGCCACTCTGAGCCCGCATGCCACCGGTTCCAGCCAAGGCGCTTACACCCCCACCAAATCGAGTGTATCCGGACACTCCAGCCCAGCACGATCCCCGAAGCCAGTCAGCAGCTGGAGCAAGAAATCGGATGAGTTTGCCACGGCCCCGGCCTGGAACATTCACCAGTACGGCTACATGGGCGGTGCCAACCAGGGCAACCAGGGCGTTGCCTTTGGTGCTCGTCGGCAGATCACTACCGCTGCCCCGCGTGTTCCCAGCCTGGCGGAGAAAGAAAAGCGGAGAAAGGAGGAAGAAGAACGGCAGCTTCTGGAGAAGCAGGAAGCGGAGCGCCAGCGCCAGCAGGAACGCGAAGCTGAAGAGGAACGTGCACGCATCGAGGAAGAGCGCCGCTGGGAGGAGGAAACGAACCGTTTGAGGGAGAAAGAACGGCGTCAAGTCGAAGAGGAGCGCAAGCGCTGGGACGCGCAACAGCGCAAATGGGAAGAAGAGGAGCGGCAACGCCAGCGCGAAGAAAAGGAAACGGAGGATAGGCTAGAGCGCGAGCGACTGCAACGGCGAGAGGCGCAAGACAGCCGTCTCAACGGACAGTTCCTCAGCCAATACCAAGCCAGTCTACCAACAGCATCTCCCGTTCCCCCAGTCTCCAGCGAAAACCGCGAGAGACAACGCATCCGCGAACTCGAGCGCGAGCTAGAACGCGCCAAGGAGAGAGAACGCCAATACGAGCGCGAACGTCAAGACATCCAAGAACGGGCAACCAAATCGCCGCCTCGCAGCCCCCGCCCAGCCCAGCCCAGCTACGACCTGTCCTCCCTCGAGCAAGAACGTCGCATGCTCCGGACCGAATGGCAAAAGCACCACGACGAGCCACTCGCAGAATCAGACATTCCCCCAAGCATGCCTCCCCGACCCCTCCCTGAGCCCGTCATCGCCGCCGGGGACAAACCACCTACGCCCCCTCGCCCCTTGCCCGACCCCACCGAAGCGAAGCCCCCTATGCCTCCACGACCCCTCCCCGATCCCACAAGCTACACCTCTCCACCCCAAAGCCCCTACACACAAGAGAGCCGTGTCGACCGATTCCTCGCATCCAACCGGCCCCCTGTTGCCCCGAAGCCCGTTGCCCACCGGCCCCAAGACTACACAACCACTGCGGAAGTAGACGCCGAAAATAGCCGTCGCGCCGCCGCCCAAGAGAAGACCAAGGCCGGCGGCTGGGCCTCCAAGTCCCTCCTGGAGCGCGAGATGGAGCGCGAACGGGAACGTCAGCGCGAGTGGGAGGAGAATCAGCTTCAGACACAGGAGGCAGCAGCTAGGGCTGGGTCTTCTACTGCGGGCGCTAGGCGGCAGATTATTGGGCCGAGGCCACCTCCATAAATATAAAGTGGAGTGAGCCTTTTCATAGTTCGCCGCGTTTAGTGTTTTCTTTTTCTACCCCCTTTATCTATTTTGTCTGCCTGTCTGGTTTATTTTATCTCCCCTGTGTCGTGGATATACCCTTTTCATTTGCCTCCTTTTCTCTTATCCCTTTCACGCCGCTTGGTGCGGTGGTGTGTGCAACTGCGAAGTTTGCTTGGCATGAGTGGTTACTATATTTCTGTTCGGGAAAAAACACAATAAAAATAAATCAAATGTAAATAAAAAGCAGTATTCAGCTGGAAATTGATAGACATTTCAAAGTTCAGATCCAGATTCAGATTCGTAGATTCAATTAGCAAAGGGTATTTATACTATCTATACATCAATAAAACATAGCCGAAAGCTGTCTCAAGACAGTATATAACCGATGAGCGAGGCAAAAATCATATCCAGACAAGGAAAAAAAGACATGACGCGCTTGCTTTTGAATCGCTCACTCCGATCACATATACGCATGCAAATGAGAGAAATGAAGAAAAAGAAAACATCTTAGTACCTCATGGGACAAGCATCATGCAGCAGTGGCATTACCCTCGAAGGGCAGAATGATCTGCACGAGGAAATACAATCGCTCCGCACTCTCCTCTAGCCATGCTCGCTCGATATCATCCGCCCACCTATAGGCCTCCTGAACATATTTCTTCGATTGGTATTCGGACCGGTCGAATCGGCGATTAACGCCCTTATGAACTGCTTCTCGCAGACTCTTCGTGACGCTTAGCATGCCATTATCGGCGAGGAGGATGATCAGTGACTCCAAGGCAATGGAGACCTTGGTATTGTCGGCTATGGACTTTGTGCTGGCCGCGTAGGGTAGAAAGCATTGTTCCAGTTTGGCTTGGTTGAGATATTCCTCGTCGCTGTCGGGGGCGGCGGACTCGCGCATGCGAAAAAGGAGGAATTCGCAGAGGGTGGTTTTGGCAGGCCCGGAGAGGTAAGGGAGGGTGGAGGGGCTGATGAAGGCTTGGAAGACGGGGAGGGGCAGGTGACGGATGTTTTCGGCGTAGAGATGGTAAAGGTCTTCGAGGGGGATGAAGTCGTCGGGGAGGTATTGGGAGACGGTTGAGAGGAGTTGTAGGAGTCGTTGTCGGAGACCGAGCGAGCGCATGCCTCCGTAAAAGCCGACATCGCCGTGCATGTAGGGGATGTGTTTGGTGGGGAGCTCTTCGATGGGTACACGAGCGCCAAATTTGCTGCTTGGGGCAGAGCCGCCGTATGGGCCGGGGGGTGTGTTGATGCCGTTGGGGCCAAGGGCTAGTGATTTGCCTCTGCGCTTGGGCTGGGGTGCCCGGCGAGGGGTAGCTTTCTCCCGGGCACGTTTGGTCCTGCTGGTGTTTGAATCAGATGGATATACCTCACCTTCAAAATTGGCGTTCGTCTCATCGGTATCCTTGTTTTCGTTGTCACATTCTCCATCCTCGACCGGATCATCGTCCGTGAGGTAGTCACCGAACTCGTTCTCATCGATGTTGACCTGCGCACTGCGCTTTCTGCTGGTGGAGGTGTGTGCTTGTGCGTATTTGAGTTCATTGTCGAAGACTTCGCGAAACTCATTGCGAGAGGTCGAGCCACCGTCTGCAAAGATGGAGCGGACGATGCGCCGGTATGGACCGTATGTGGTGCTAGCTCCGTGGATGTAACGGAATATGAGGCTTTCTCTGAGGATATGGAGGGCTGGGTCATCGTCATGATGCATTTTTTTCCGTCGACCTTTCTTTGGGGAGGGTGGTGGTCCCTGTTCGCTAATGGCGTTACCGGTGTGAGCCTCCTTGTACTGTCGAAACCGTTCGTTCCAATCACTCTCCAGAACATCACACATGTATTCAAGCCAGACCTGCCACCACGTCCAGCGGGGGCGATGGCGGACAGAACAGTTGAACGCCCAACCAACGACATGCCAGAAGTCTTCTGCGTTGGACCACAAGGAAAGCGACTGGCCGAGATCTAAGTTCAAGGGTTTCGTATCCTCGGAAGATAGATCCGAGGGAGGGGGGATGTCTTCTGCCACAGGACGTCGTCTTGTATGGCGGGGGAAGTCAGGTTTGTTGAAAGAGAATGCGACGCTGAGCTTCGAAGAGATGGGTCCGACGAGGGTTTTGGTCAGTCGAAGCAGACGTAAAGCGGCCAGGGGTGCTTCTTCCTCCTCGGTTGTTTTCGCGCGCGTGGTGGTGGAAGGGTGTATGAGGAGAGTTGCGGCTAGGGCGAGTTGCTGGACCGGTGGAGTATATACTGGCGCTGAGGCAACGGTACCGGATGTGAGGATATTCAGGAGGAAATTGAGAGCTTGCGTATCTAAAAAGAGAGGTCAGATGTGGACAAAGAAGAAATAGCGATGCGAAGGGAACGGACAGAGTCGCTCTTCGAAGAAGATGGCTGCATGTTGGGCTAGCTCAAAGGGGACGGGTTTGGGGAAACGATAAACAGGCAAGTCTGCCTCTGGAGGTTCTAGAGCTTCCATAGAAGACAGAAGTGGAGGGAGAGGTAGAGAAACGAAGAGGATGTGGAGAAGATGAAGGAGGAGATGGAGATGGAATAGACATGGCGCAGCGATAAAGAAAGCGACGCGATGCTTATCGATAACCCAGCAGGGGCAGCACGTGTGCCAGCCAATCACAGGCGGCGCTTGACATTGCGGGCCACAATCAGGCAGTCCACACTGCGAGACCAATCCGGCTTGTTCCCTACTGTATGCGACAAATAGATGAAGGGTTCGTTGAAATGAACGGGATGAACCGAGCATCCTGAGCGTTGACCTGGAACTTCCTGAGCTGTGGAGAGTTGATGATCGATAAGTGGTAGAATATTATGCACAATAATGAACCAACTTTCAACAAATCAGGGTGCTGTAGTGTAGTGGTCATCATGAAACGTTGTGGTTCTCCGCAGCGCCGTTTCGACCTGGGTTCGATTCCCAGCAGCGCCAAAAAGTTGGCGTTTGAGCCTGATTTGACATTTCTTTTTTCTTTCTTTTTTTGTAGGGCACTTTATCGCTCATTTAACCTTTTTTTTTTTTCGGCGGCCATTATATGATAGCCATTTTTTCTGTTTCCAATTCCAACGGTAGTATGCCACATAGTACATTATTCTCTCTCCCATTGCAATGAACCTTCAAGTGACCGAAACTGTGTGGGCAAAGGGGATCAACATATATATATAGCATTCCGCTTAGATTGCCATCATAATCATATCATATTAAATAAGTAAAGAGATATTTCGCATTCTATATCATTACTTCATTTTTACCAATAGTAGTACCCAGTGGTATGGAGAGTGTGTGATGCTGTGCCTGAGTACTGTCCTGGTTATATAGAGAAGGGGCCACACTCAGCCGCATGATAGTGAATACAGTAGTAGTATGGCACTCAATAATATATTAATATCACGAGAGATATACAATAAGCATTCATAGAGCTGAGCGGTAACTCTCACCGTCATATCCACAAAAGTCAGTAAGTCACCTGTGGTGTATTTAGTGGCTGGCTACTCCCATGGATCCGACGGAACACTGTAGGAGCAACAAGTGCGATCAACTCGGTTGACAGACAATCACACTAACCAGGGAGTAACCCACGCCTACGTATGTTCTACCATAGCACGAGACAGAGAGTAGAGTCCTGCAGCAGAACAGTCGCCCCAGCACAATCTGTAGATTAGCATACTACCTTACCTGTCTCGCTCAACACCACCCTCCAAAACCACAATCAAGTAAGACACACATGCATGAATAATACCACTAGGCACCATTGTCTGAACGGTAATTCAAACAGAAACTTCCTGCGTAAACAGTGGGCAGTTCCACGGATCATCCACAGCCACATTCTCGACCAGCCCAAATGTCCAGGAACATGAAGCTATACTCCTTTCGCTCGGGCCCGAACAAAGTTTGGCCGAAGTATCCACACCTCGTGCCAGGAAAAGCTTGACATGAGCCAATCGTTGGAGGGGTCATGTTCCCAACATCATTCGTATCGTCCTCTTTTTGCTGAGTGTATGTACCCCCAAATTAATTGTCTCGATAGGAGCAGAGGGGACGACCAATGGCAGGGATGAATCCCCCGTGCCCCCTTGAAACATGTACGCTATGTCGGTGAAGTTTTGATGAACTTTCACCATGATGCCACTCGGACCTCGGATGAAGTGGGTGAGACAAGCCAGAGAGGCAGGGAGCTGCACGCGAGCCGTCCGATAGATGATCCGCATTCCTATTGGCGATCTCGGCAGTCGAACGGGAAGTATCATCCCAGCGTTGCACGATATGAAATCACTGGCGCTAGATGATGGCATTTTTCCGACAACATGCTGAAAAAGGTTGGTTTCAGAGAGTGTGGTTCCTACCGCAATGTTTCCTGGTCTCAAGGATGCACTTCGTAGGCCTGATTGGAAAAGGAAGGGGAGTAGTTATCAGATGTCTCATCTGAGTCTCGACTCAGCACCGTAGAGGACCCTGACATTCCCAATGGCATCTTGTAAAGAGTGAACCAGTCAGTAGTAATGAATGACTGACCCGCAACCCCCACCTACCCAATAACTATCCCGTATTTCCACCATAGGCACATTTCCCTCACCCAGCACGTGTGACTGGGATGGTCAATGAATGGCGCCAGTGTCTCATTCTAGTCATAATAAGCGGACGGATACCCAATCCGATTGGCTCGGTGGACGTGGGGTGATAGGCACGACCGACCACGGTGAGTGTGAATCCAACCCCCCTTCCCACCTCGCATCACCCCAACAGCAATCATATCAATCTGATGCATGGGTCGTACACGGTATGGTAAGATGGGAACCTGTAAAAATCTGTTTTACGGTGAGGGGTAAGATAGACAGACGTGGCTTGGGAAAAAAAATAAATTAAAAGAAAAAAGAAAAAAGAAAAAAGGCGGAAAAACTTGCCAAGCGAGAAATACTTATCAATCAGCGGATCTCGTATCTCGAAAGATGATCTGATAAAATAATTCCCAGCTGTCGCGTGTCTCTGTCTTGTGTTCCAAGGGCAGATTTTCTTCCCTTTGTCGTCAAAATGGGCAATAACCCGGTCTTTGCTGTCACTGGTGAGATCACCACAACAAAACTGAAGGTTTCATGAAATGATGGGTTACTGATCCCAGCCAGTGTTCTTCATCTGCTTTCGAGAATGCCTGGAAACAAGCGTGGTTGTGTCTGTGCTGCTGGCTTTCTTGAAGCAGACACTTGGGAATGAAGGGGGTGACACGTATAAACGACTCGTGAAGCAAGTAAGTGTACTCACGGCTTCAGCGTGCCATCACCACCAAAGTTCGCTGCTGATGATGTTTTTTTTCCCACTCCAGGTCTGGCTAGGATGCGCACTCGGACTATTCATATGCCTCTGCGTCGGCGCCGGCATGATTGGCGCCTTTTACGGCCTTGGCACGGACACGTTCTCCAGCACCGAAGATATCTGGGAAGGAGTCCTAGGAATATTAGCATCCCTTATCATTGCGGTCATGGGAGCGGCCCTGTTGCGCGTGTCAAAGCTGCAGGAGAAATGGCGGGTCAAACTCACCAAGGCTCTTCAGCACCACCGTAACACCAATAGCTCGCGCAGGGGCCGAGTGAAGATGTGGCTCGAGAAATACGTCATGTTCATCTTGCCCTTTATCACAGTTCTTCGTGAGGGTCTGGAGGCAGTGGTCTATGTCGGTGGTGTTGGGTTGGGGTTGCCGGCTACCTCCTTTCCTTTGGCGGTAGTGTGCGGTCTCATTGCAGGATGCTTGGTGGGATATTTGATTTATCGGTAAGAAAAATCCATGTACTGTTACTCATTGGGTGGCACCAGCTAATGCAGACATTGCATGTTATAGAGGAGGCAGCGAAACAACCATGCAATTTTTCTTAATTGTCTCGACCTGCTTCCTCTACCTGGTAGCCGGAGGCTTGTTCTCTCGTGGCATATGGTACTTCCAAAACAACGCATGGAACAACATCATTGGTGGGGATGCTTCCGAAACGGGGTCAGGCCCTGGGTCTTATGATATCCGACAGAGCATCTGGCACGTCAACTGCTGCAACCCCGAGTTGGGAGGTGGCGGTGGATGGGGCATTTTCAACGCCTTGCTGGGATGGACAAACTCGGCCACATACGGATCTGTGATCGGCTATAATCTATTCTGGATCTGCGTGATACTCGCCTATGCTGCGATGATGTATCGGGAGCGGCGTGGTGCAATCCCCGTTATTGACCCGATGATTGCGCGCTACCAGGCGTTCAAGGCCCGGGTGATAGCGGCCATTCTTCGTCGGCCAGTGGAAGAAGAGGACGTTGAGCCGGTGGAGCAGTCGGGGATTTTTGCAGAGAGTGGCAAGGCGAAAGAAACTGGTGTCGGAGGGCCCATGTCTGTGAAGGAAGCGGAGGTTAGGGCTGTGTAGCGATAGTGCTAGTATAGACAACGGAGTGGGTTTTGCTCATTAAACCGCGTCATGCGGGTAATGTAGGTAGATTGTAATTTGTAATTGCTTCTTGCAGCTTTGTGGTTCCATGGCGACCCAAGAAAAAATAGGCGCCAGTTCCGCCGAGTGTAGACGAAGGCAGGATAATTCTGAGTAGTAAGTAGTAAATGAAAGTAGGGCAACCGTAATTAAACGTACAACGAATTACCGCAAGAATACTAGCGTAATACCCGCTCTTGGCGCGACAAGGGCCCAGCATCAGATAAGCCAGCGCCCAGACAACATGATAAGATTGGAGGCAGAAGACAACATCTGCTCGCTTGCAAATGGCGAGAAGAAAAAAATCTGTCCGACTGCCATCTTTAAGCCTGGTCCTTGTCGGAGATATTATAGCCAAGCCCTGCCAAGTCGGCGTTCTCTACCTGAACTGGGGATCAAGCTATTGTGGGACTGTATGCTGGGTGGGACTCCGAGAAATCTACCAGTTCGGGCGATAGTGGGAAACCGTTCCTCACGTACAGCCCAGTATTCGGTAGTACTAGTCGATATCAGATGGGCTATCTGATTCGTCTCAGGCCTCGCATTCGTGGATGCCTCCTCCTCATTTTACCTTCATCCGGCGGCCCGACTGATTGATAAGTGGGATGATCTAGTCATAATTTATCTTCTATTTCACTTTTCTCTCTCGTACTCCACTTCCGCGAGGGCCTGCATCTCCCACGGGCTCCAACCCATGGTATATAGAACCCCAACGTAGAACCTCCCCCCCCTCCTCCCTGATTCTCTTTCCTTCCCTGTCCGAGTGAATCCTCCTTCCCTCTCGTCCTTCATCGTCCGCCCCCTCATCCCGGACAGGACAGACAAAGATGGCTTTCCCCAGCCGTCTCCTCCCTTGGCTCGCAGCCATCTTCTTCTTCATCGCCCAATGCCAGGCCAAAACCGTGACCTATGACTGGAACGTCACTTGGGTGACCGCCAATCCAGATGGCCTGGCCGAGCGTCAAATTGTCGGCATCAACAATCAATGGCCCCTGCCCATCATCGAAGTCGACAAGGGCGACCGCCTCGTGGTAAACATGTACAACGGACTTGGTGACAAGAGCGCCTCGATCCACTTCCACGGCATGTATCAAACCAACACAACGGACATGGACGGCCCATCCATGGTGACCCAATGTCCCGTTCCGCCGGGCAGCTCCATCACGTACAACTTCACCGTTAACCAGAACGGCACGTACTGGTACCACTGCCACACGGACTACTGCTACCCTGACGGCTATCGCCAGGCCTTTATCGTGCATGACAACTCCTCCTACTTCGCCGACAAGTATGACGAGGACCTCACCATCACCATGACAGACTGGTATCATGAACTGACTGAGACCATCGCCCCGACCTTCATCACCGTCGACAACCCCACTGGCGCTGAGCCCATCCCGGATTCCTTCCTCTTCAACGACACTCTCAACACCAAGATCCCCGTCGAAGCAGGCAAAACTTATCTCTTCCGTCTCATCAACATCGGCGCCTTCGTCGCCCAATACTTCTACATAGAAGACCACACCATGCGCATCGTCGAAATCGACGGCATCTACACGGATGAGGCGGAAGCAGATATCCTCTACATCTCCGCCGCGCAGCGCTACACCGTCCTGGTGACGATGAAAAACTCCACGGAGAAAAACTATCCTATCGTCATGGTCGCCGACTCCGCCCTGCTCGACACCATCCCCTCAGACCTGCAACTCAACCAGACCAACTGGCTCGAGTACAACTCCAGCGCTGCGTTCGAGCAAGCGGTAATGACCGTCTCCGACCCCGCAGACCTCAATCCCTACGACGACATGTCCCTCGTCCCTAATGACAGAATGCCCCTCCTCGAGTCCCCAGACCTCTCGCTCGAACTCACTGTCACTATGCAAGTCCTCGACGACGGCGCCGACTACGCCTTCCTCAACGACATCTCCTACACCGCTCCCAAAGTCCCCGCCCTCTACACCGTCATGTCCGCGGGAGACCAAGCCACAGATGCGACAGTGTACGGCGACTACACGCACTCGGTCGTGCTAGAGGAGAACCAAATCGTGGAAATCATCCTCAACAACGGGGATACGGGAACTCACCCGTTCCATCTTCACGGCCATGCCTTCCAGATGATTGATCGGTACCCGCCGTATGGGCCTCATTTCTATGACTATGCAGATGGTGATCCAATCACGTACAATGCTTCTAACCACACTGCGTTCCCGGAGTACCCGCCCCGGAGAGATACCTTTGTGCTTCCGCCGCAGGGATACTTCGTTGTGCGCTTCAAAGCCGATAACCCCGGTGTGTGGTTCTTCCATTGCCATATTGATTGGCACTTGGCGCAGGGTTTGGCTATGGTGTTTATTGAGGCGCCGAAGGCGATTCAGAGTAGGGTTACTATCCCTCAGCAGCATTATGATGTTTGTGAGGCTGCGGGTGTCCCTACGGCGGGTAATGCGGCCGCTAATACCGAGGACTATACCGATCTTACCGGCCAGAATAAGCAGGTTGCGTGGTTGCCTGCCGGTTTCACGGCTAGGGGTATTGTGGCGTTGGTGTTCTCGTGTGTGAGTGCGTTCCTGGGTATGGGTATGATTGCGTTCTATGGATTGTCGGATATTAAGAAGGGTGGGGGACAGGTGCAGACTAGGAGGGAGGAGGTGAGAGAGCATGAGGATTAGTTGTCCTTTTTGTTTAGATAAGGGGGTTTGAAGAAAGATGCTCTGGTTTGCATCAGATACCCGATGAATTAGATAGGACTAAAAAGTATGTAATTTATTTCAAAGTTTATGGATTCTTGCTACTAGCTTGCTTGCTTCGTCTCGTATATTCGGTGTGCATCATCGTAAATTCATAAACCCCAAGATGACTTGCATAGTATATGCGCCATTTGCTGACCGTGATACCAATGCTGGACCTGCGGAGCGAAGTCCCCGATGAGTACTGGAACAGATTTGCCCTTTGCCCTGAAGAGATTGAAGGAGTTGATAAGCTTTGATTTCCACTTTAAGGCTTGGAAGTTGCTCGTTGGTGGTGGCCTTCAGTAGGAAGCCAGTCCTACAGAATATGTGTAGCTGTTCGAAGCCATTTTCTCGATCCTGTGACAAATGGACAGATAAGAGATGCGTTAGTTCATGGATATCGAGGCTGTGGAGTTGATATCCGTATTATTTGGCGTTCGGAAATAGAGGATTTAGAGGGCCTCTTCTGGCCAAGCCACTTGTGCATTTCATTGTACAATATTGAATTCATAATGGAAAAGAAGGGAGTTCCTCAATGGATTTCCAAGATGGTGGGTTGTATTCTGACGGTAGTTTTATGCGGACCGATTCCGGTATGTGTCCTAAGGGATCAGGGTAGTCAATTTCCCATTCGTCCAGTTGCTCAGCTGCATCGTACCATGACTGAGGTGGTGGACTAGCTTGCATGGTGTTCAGGGTCAAGGCGAGAACATGAGCAACTGCTGTGCGTTGGAGCCGAAACTCATCTCCATCAGTGACGTCTAAATTGGGGATAAGCAGATAGTATTGCACCACTGACGGGTCTTCTGTGATATGAAGACAGATGAAGGCCTCCCCGGTGTAGATATAGCCATATTGAACTCCAATATTGACCATATTGGAGAATAACTGCGTGATTACTGCTGCCACAACCCAGGTTGCATGCTTGTCGAAGCTACCACCATTATTGTCAATGAAGTCATCATCCAGATTCATCACATGAAGGCCAGCAATAATCTCAGACATTGATAGCACGTGCGGGGTTTGGTACTCAACAGCATACAGAGGGACTTCTTGCTCATCCGACTCTACATGGATGTAAAACGCATTATTATTGTTGTCCTCATGTTCAGACCTAACATATCCGTGAATGTTGAAACGCTGACGCAGTCTCTCGTTGTTGTTCATCTCAACAAGAATGGATTGTACATGATTATCCACGGTCTCACGTTGGAAGGATTGAAGATGAGATTCGGATGCTATAGGTCGGGTAGCACCATTTCCAATGAACTCAAATTGATTCTTGGACGCGAAAGCGCGATGTGTGGAGAATTCTGGATCTTCATCATCGATAGCCTTCCAAATGGCCTGCTGGAAAGCGGGAAAAGCTCCCCAGGGTATTATGCGCTTGGGACGTAATCTACCGAAAGGATCGATTGAACCATGATATGTTTTTGACATGTTCGTTTGGAAACTGATAGCAAGAGAAAGCTTATGACACTCTTCGAGAAAAGCAAAGAGGCTGCTTGATTCAACTTGCTGTCGTGCCTGTTTGATTAACAGCTGTAGTTGCTTGGTCTTGAGCTTTAATTGCTTGGTTTCTAGCACTAGCTGTTGGTGTCTCGATTTTGCCCGCTTGACTCCAAGCTTTGCCTGTGCAGCCCGCTGCTTTGCTTGTCTGACTTCCTGTCTGGCCTCCTCAACTTGCTCCGCATGTTTGACGTCCAGCTCTGCCTTTGTTGCCTGTTGCTCCGCGTGACGGAGATCTTCCAGTACGAAGTCGAGTTCTATTTCCATTGTGGCAGCAAGAGAGATGGTGTTTCGAGTAGTATTTGTCAGGACATCAAGAGGCGTACGTTTTCTCGTATCTGTAGAGATCAGGTAGCAGGCAAAGACTCTAGTGAGGTTTCTGCCTACAGTGAATGCTGCAGCAGGATCTTTTCTGGAGCTCAGAAGGCTCGCAGTGGTCCTGACTAACGCAAGTGATTGAGCATCTTGCATAAATGATTTCCTCCGATTATTGATGACTGTAGAGGGAGAGAACAACCAGCCTGATGGTCAGTCAGACTGACATATGAAGTAGATTTTGTTTACGACTTTTCTTCTGCTTACCGTCTTCCTTCAAGTCCAACCATTGATGCTCTGTTTCGCAGTCAAGTGTAGCTTCGTGCAGCCTCCCATTCAGGTTGATGTGAGTGGAAAAGAGTAGTAGCAAATATGGATTTCGTCATACTAGGTTACCATGATTGTTTGACTGTCGCGTGATCTTGTAGATGGAAATCACTTTACTCAGTATTTCCAGTTGCCAGAACAAGAGGCTACAAATTACTCCGCTACGATCACGCCATCAAAGACGGACTGCTGCCTACGGAAAGCCATACCAGGTCTACAGTCAGCACCGCAACATAAGGAATATCTTCTTATATAGAGTGTAGTGATGAGAAGAGAGTCCAGAACCATCGGACGACCGGCCTCCCCTTATCTTCATCTATTCCTCATGCCCCATTCACGCCAGCACCTTTCTATAAACCGAACCACATTTTCCCCCTTTTCCTTGCCTCCCCCCTCTTTATCGTTTTCCGAAACAAGCCTGCCGGGTCTGTCTGCCCATTGCATGCAGAGATACGAGACCCACGAAATTGAGCACGATCGAGATATTTGAGAAAAAGGAAGCGAGACATATAAAGCACAGAGAGGGCAAGGAAAAGAGACAGCGACGCCAAGCGGAGAATATTATCAAGAACGAGAAGTAGTAGTTTAGTAGTAAGAAGCAATAACACACACAGGTTAAGTGTAAGGGAATAAAAGCAAGTAGATAAAGCCAAAAAGGAAACGGAAACGAAAGAGGAAGAGAGAGAGCGGCTACTCTTCGGGTATATCAGAGAAGAGACCTATTCGCAGACGGTGCGACTATCACAGCAGTTAGCATTCATGACTCACCCCACCACAGAAGGCAAGGATAATACATACAAACGGCAATTTCGGGATGACAACTCCCAGGGTTGCAAGGAAATTGATGGTGAAATACGTCAAGTCGTAGTGGGTATAATGTGTGCTAAGCAGGAAGAGACAAATGGGCACGCAGAGGAGGAACTTCTTTGTGGGCGTATACTGATCTCCATTGTCGATCTGCTCCCACATGTTGAGGTTGTCGTACGCGCCGGCGTTGAATTCAAAAGGGATGCCCCGCACCCAGTGGAACATGAGGAAAGAACCGAACATGTAGCTGATGTTGGTGAGTGTCCATGAAGTCTCCTGCGAGACACCGGGAATGATGTCGAACAAGATCTTGAGGGCGATGATGAGAACGAAGTGGATGGTCCAGGCTCCTAAATGGTAGTACAACGTGGTCAGCCACTGGGGGTGTCATGGATGTCATGGGGACATATGTTGGTTACAAGTCCCCCGCCGGAACATGAACCCCTCCTTCTGCAGCGACGGAGTGGTGATGATGGGGGGGGGGGGGGAAATGGAGGAGATGGAGGTGGCCACTACTCACCCTTGGCGTTGACCCAGTTCGCATTCAAATTGGGCAGAGCAGCCTGGTCGCTGGTGTGCTCAATGGATTCGGGGGGCTCTTGGTAGATGATACTACTCGACCGTCTCCTCCGTCCAGCCTTGCCCTGGGCCATATTGGTGTCCGGGGTCAACCGGCGCGACGCAGCGTCGACGTCCGGGGGGAAGGAGATGGCACGGGGAACGATTAGGGAAGACACTTTGGCGGTATTGATCGAAGATCGAGCGAAGAGAGAGGAGAAATCGAGTGACAGGAATGAAAAGGAAATAGTCGTGAGAGAATGGCAGAGTGGTAAAAGAGGACGCCGCGGGCGAGAGAACGAGAGAGCAAGCTGGCTGAATACCGAGAGACTGAGTGACTTCGACCGGGAGGCGATCTTGAAGACGATCGGCGGCGGTGTTGGTCACGGGAGCAGGTCTCCGTATTACCGGGACAGGGGGTAAGTTACCGCCGGGCCAAAGAATGAAGTTGGACACTTGAGATAAGTGTTCAAGGGAAAAATGTTCACGAAAAGCGAGTGGATGCCTTGCAGGTTGAGAGAGGGAAAAAAAATCTCAATCGAAGGCCAATGGAGAAGAAGAAGTAGAAAAGAAAAAAAAGTAAAAAGGGAAAAAAGAAGCCAGCAGTCCGACATCCCGAGGGGCAACCGAGCAGATCCTCAACCTCAAACTAATTGTCGGCATGGCTAAGAATAGCCGGGACGCTTGCTGCATCCCATCGTTCTAGATAGAGTCTAGACCACACCATCGCTGCACCAACCAAATGCCATTCCTGTCTGGGTTGATTCGAGGCTTTAATTAACGATTATTGCTATCTATGCTATCTTCAAAGTATCAAGGGATCTCTCCTATTCCGTATCCTTTTTGGTCTGGTTATCGCGAGCATATGAAATCTAACTGGGAGTGTCTGACTCAGGATGAGACTGAAGTGGATAAACGTAATCTATGTGCCTCTGGCTGTGAGCATTTAATAAGGAAAATACTGTGTTAAGTACCTGTTGGGGGCTTCTAGTACATAGACTCGTCCAGTGTCCACATAAATTAGCTGCAGTGACCATATAGTGCTGAAGAACAGCTTCAGAGGCGTGTAGTAAATATCCCAGCTTGAATGGTTGAATACTCCGTCCTGCTACCATCCAATAAAAAACTAACCTTATGAATCGTCCACGCCCTGACTATCACTCATAAAATATCCCGAGCCCGCTAATCCCGGAGCAAATAAGCAATTGGATCTCATGGAATCTGAGAAAGCCGCGAACACCGGATCGTTTTACACTAATCACATGGCATTTTGTCGCTTTAATCCAGGGTTTCCCTAGAAAATGCCAATACCGGATCCCCTAAGATCCTCTTGGTGATCATATCTGAGTGACCGACACATTTCGAGGATTCCTGATACGCTGTCTCTCGTTGAGGGGGCCCATATGGGTTGGATACATCCAGCACTGCCATCTTTTACTCGCGTGTTGACGAAAGATCAACAATCAGCAATTTGTAGGAGAGGAATAGGCCGGCCCCCGTCTCCCATATCGAAATGTCTCAAGAAAGCACAATATGTACCAATTCCAGATACTACGGCTCATTGCATCTATTCCCCTCCAAGACTCTCCACCATCACTCGTACCAGACCGCCATCTGCTCAAACAGTGAATGTCTGAAGCAATAACGATGATGTGATGCTGATACTCGTTCGTGACGATACAGTACCTGCACATGGCACAAGTGGCTCCTGCCGCCCGCCGTAAAATTCTCTCCGCGAAATCTGAAGGAAATCCGATGAAACTTGCAGCAGCAGCTCTTCAAACACCTCAACCTCCTACTGCCTCCCCGTTTATTCCGTCTTCTCTCAGGATGCCTGATTCTCCATCCGACGACAACGATTCCAGAACCGCCGCAGTCGGCCCCCGCGCTCAGACAAACGGCTCCCGCCACTCCTCGCGTCAGAGCTCCCACGATCCCAACCCGAACCCGCGGAAAAGGCAACGCCGCAGTCGGTCCGCCGACGTACGCAATGTCCGCGACTTCGTCCCCCAAGGCGCTACCTTCAGTGAAGCGGGACTTGATGTCGATGTAGATGCTACTTCATCTTCCGGTTCCGACAGTGACGACGGGTCCTCCGAAGGTGGTGATGCGCAGGCCGAGTCCGCGCCCGCGCCGCCGGCGAGCTGGAATAAAGGCAGCAAGAGTGCGATTCGGACATCGCTTCGCAGTCGCGCGAAGCCAGAGGAGAGCAAGCCCGCGTCACAGTTCGACACTGTCAATGATAAGTTCTGGCGCAGTCGCAGTGAATCCGTCTCGTCCCATGGCGATCACGAGACGGAAGCATCAAAACCCGCCCAAGTCGATGGCATAGAGGAGGGCGAAGTGAATGAGGAGGAAGCTTCGGACGAGTCCAGCCAGATGCAGCTCTCCGGCGACTCAGATGACTCAGAGTCTCTGGGTTCGGAAGCAGATGACTCGATCTTGTTGAATATTGGGTCCCGGAACGGTCAAAATCTCGGTCAGGACCAGGATGGCTTAATCACCCCGGACGGCGACGACGACTACGACCCCGAGGCATTACCAGTCTCTAACGGCACGAAAACCAACGGACAAACCTCCACAGACCAATCTAAAGAGGACGCACTCCTCCGCTTCTCGAAAAAGTACCCGACTGCCCCTTCTACCCTCGCCGACCTCGACCGCGAAGACATGGACATCCAAGCGAAATACCGCTTCTACGACCGCGACGTTAACGCCATCGACCTACAACTCCCCATCGCCTGCACAGAATGTCTACTCGAGGGACACCTCGCAGAAGTCTGCCCGTCCCGAGAGGTACGCCCACCCCTCCCTCTCCCTCTTCCCCATCATCATCATCACCAACTAACCAACCATTCTAGTGCATACACTGCGGCTCCTGGAACCAGCACCAAAGCAGCTTCTGCCCGACCTGGCGCCGTTGCCAACGCTGTCGCGCGCGCGGCCACGACGAAGACAACTGCCCATCCGCACTGAAAGGCTCCGCCAGCGAATTCCCGTGCGAACTATGCGGCTCGACCACGCATATCGAAGAAGACTGCGACCTGATGTGGAAGCTCACTACTACCCGCCCGGACTCCGAACCCGTCCTCGTCTCCCTCTCCTGCGCCCACTGCACCAGCAACCGCCACCTCATTGGCGACTGTCCGTCCCTCTCATCCACCCGAACCCTGCTCTCCTCTTCCTGGACCGTCCGCGGCATCGACCCCAACATGATCACCAACATCAACTCCGTCGTGAACCACCGACGTAACAACAACAATAACAACAATAGCAATAGCAATAACAGAGGAGGCCTCAAGATCCGCGGCCGCGCCGACCACCGCCCGCCTTCTTCCGACAGCGACGACATGATGGCTCATCGGCGTCCGCCTGTCCATCGCGGCGGCGGCGGTAGCAACCGTGGCAACATTCGCATTGGAAGCGGCATCGGCAGAGGGAATAAGAATATTTCGAGTAATGGGTATCGCGATAGATCTGATTTCGGCCCGTCGAGGCAGCGGTCGATGTCGCCGAATCCTCGTCCGACGCGCGGGAGAGGTGGGAAGGATAGTTGGCAAGGGGGTGGTGGACGGGGGAAGTCGTCGGGTGGTGGTGGTGGTGGTAGCCGGCCTCCGTCTAGAGGTGGGAATACGGGTCGTGGGGGTGGACGTGGTGGGAAGAGAGGTGGTGGTGGGGATGCGTATCGACCGTTGCCGAGTGCGGCGAAGAAGGCGTGGGATAAGTATCGGTTGTGATGGTATGGGATTTTATCGTTATAAACAGGTCGTTGTATTGGCGTTTCCTGTGTGTGTGTACATATACCCCGAGGGTGGAACGATTGATGTTGTATGTTCTAAAAGTTGTTTGTGTTAGACGTAGCTCATAGCTTGGAGCTATGGTATGTACAGATGATATAGATGTCCAACATGATGTACAGGATGACTCTATACGCCATTCTCCATGGCATTATCCGTAGACGTAGGCACCTTCTCACCCCCGCGATGTCCCACGAACCCTTCGTCTAAGATGCGAATCAACTCATCTAGCCTCTCGATACAGAGATCCGTATGCGCGTGGTCTTTAAGATGTCCGTTATGGTCGTTGAGCAAGAGCACTGTCGCCGCACCGGCGGTATGTCCAGCCGTCATGTCGTCGAGACTATCACCAACCTGTACACGGAATAACAATGATTAGTCCACCACTTTCTCCCTAGAGAACCGAATAAGTAAATGGATTTAGAATAGAACATACCATAATCAACCCCCCGGCCATCCCCCCCTCATCCTGCACCCCCCACTCCCTCGCAATATGCAATATCCCTGCTGGATCCGGCTTGGGCAACAACCCCGGTGTTTCACGCGTCACTATAGGGAGGAAGACATGTGCAGGGAGATGGTTGTTGAGGAGGTTGAGGACGGGTGCTCTACACCACACCTACATTAGTATCTTTGCCTTCTTATACTGTACTTCGAACAGAAACTGGGAAAAGGGGAAGAGGGCTTACTCAAAATTCCTCGTACACAAAGCTCTCTTGACCCCCCTCTCCTCCAAGAAATCCATCAACTCCACTAAGCCCGGTTGAGGCTGCTGTGATTCCATGGCGGTGCGCTCAATGGCTTTGATTTTGTTTGTGGCTTCGAGACGCGATTCGGGGGTCGGGAGGCGGCTGATGTGGTGCAGGATGTCGACTTTGGGGGAGATGTTGAGGGCTTGTCTGTATCATTCATTTTTTAGTTTTGGTTATATTGAGGGGGCGGGAGTGGGGGAAGTACCGCATTTCGGAGAACATGTGGTTTTGAGGAAGACTGAATGTGGTAACATCTTTAGTTAGTAGTATAATTGGTAGCTGAAGAAGGTATAGGTATTACCATAGTGTGCCGTCGACGTCAAAGACGATTCCGCGGAGTGGGGGTGCAGAGGAAGAAGAGGAAGAAGAGGGGAGGAGAGGGGCAAATCGCCGTTGGCGGAGAGTATAATTGTTCAGGGAGGCCATGAGAGAGCGAGATATGCGTAGGGCTGGATTAGAGATGGACATTGACTGGATTCAAGGCAAGGAGGGAGGAAACAGAGAAGGAAAGAAAGAGAGAGGAATGCAGAGTGGAGAAGTGACGTTGAAGAAGTGGGTGATGGGCTGATAAGATGGAGTGGAGACTGGCATGCGGAGTTGCGTTCCTTAGTTTCGGTTCTATACTTCAGGCTACTATAAACTCTCCATCTCGATATTGCAATACTTCTAAACAGAGTATATCTGCACCATTTGCATGAAAGATGATGTCTACAAAGAAGAGAAAAGGTTTGACAGTTGCACCTTCCTCTGCACCATCAGCTTCAACCATTTCCACACTCATATCTCCGAGTCTGACACCTCACAATGATCTATCTCTGCTTCTCCCCTGCAGTCCTCATCCTGTTTTCACCCTGCATCCAGTATAAATCCTCCTGCCGGCCACCATGTCAGCCAAGAAGCATCATCCAGCTTCTCGCGATCCTATCCTCGATGCCATCAATATCCGCACCGTCCTCGCCCTCCTCGGGACCCTTCTCACCATCAAGCTCCTGAACCTGCTGGCGCGCCTCACGGGGGTGCGACGCACATCGCCCCGATATCCCTACAGCTACGTCGGTCAAGCCATCAGTCGCAAAGAGCAACATATCATTCAGGTTCTCTTAGAGATCATCCCCGAGAGCGCCTCAGTGAATACCAGTCTGCCTTCCAACACAGGCTTCTCCAGCGCGGATGATAGACCCACCACCGCCGACAGCGTCCCCTCCTCCAGCTTGGTCATCCCCCTCATGCCGGTGCCTTCGCGGGTCGTTCAGCTTTCTCACAGCGCGCCTACCCGGAGCTTGGAGCTCGCTATTGCCGACAGAGATCGGGGGCTTGACGACCATACTAGCACGCGCGCGAGCGTGCACTTCCTAGGCCACCAGCCGCTGGCGAGTGACTCGGTTTACTCATCAATTGTCCGGAGGAGTCTGTCGCTTAGCGATCCGAATTCCAACTGTTCGAGTCCGCATCAGAGTATGCTTCCCGGGGTGCGATTCTCGGGGTTCATGTCGGATAGGTTGCGGTTCAGTATTCTGAGTCGGCCGTGGTCAATGGATAGTGTGTTGGCGGATGAGTCGCAGCCTGAGCAGGTCACGCTGGATATGGCACAGCTGCAGCAGACGCGTACGGCAGACAGCTATCCGGGGCCGTTTCCGATTAGTGATGGATTAGAGCCGAGCTCTCTGGCGACGGCGCAGTGTGCCAACAATGGGGCCAGTGAGCCCACGGCGGTGCGGACCTCGGTGAGGCCGTTTACCGATGTGTAGGCAGAGTTGGAGTTGGAAGGAGATGCAAGATGTACGTTATTCCTCAATGGAGCTATCTGGAGCGGAAGATGCCGGTGCAGATGCAGATGCGCCAATAAAGACCATGCAGTATGTACTGTGTGATGCAAGTATGTAATCGAATCCAGTTCAATCATGCACAATCCTCCTCATGGATCGCATGATCCAAATACCCCATAGCCCGAACAAAGATCTTCGCACTATCCAACACACGCTTCTTACAATTCCCCACCGTATCCATCCCCATGAACGCCCCATACGCCCGATCAAACTCGGTATGCTTAATCGCCTTCCAGATGCCATGTACCTCATCCGGCGGCAGGGGAATCTATCCCAAAATCAGCAACCCTGTCCCTCATCCCAAACCCATAGAAAAAAAGAAAGAGAGAGAAATACTCACCATATTCGGATAACTCCACATAAACGTATACGACGCCGTCCCCTCCCGTCTCCCTCTACTCCCATAATCCCCGACCCCACTGGGAATCGTCCCAATCGTATCAGCCAGAAACATCACCCCCTCATCTTTCCACCAAAGCACCGAACTCCCCGGGAAATGGCCCCCTGTTTTGACACCTATGACCCCACTGCCGGGAAGTACCTCTACCTCCTTACCTTCCCAGAAGATTTGCTTACCACCACTACCACCACCACCCTGTACAGAGGAATCCTGGGGTGATAGCCGCATAACCCACTCCCTATCTTCGACAGACAGATAAACCGGACAGTTGAACACCTCGGCCCAGACTAAATGCGTGGCGTAGTAATGCGGATGGGAGATGATGATTGCGGAGATACCGCCCAGGGCTTTGATTTGGGTGATGGTGTCGTCGTCGAGATAGGGGATGCAGTCCCAGAGGATGTTGCCGTGGGGAGTGAGGAGGAGGAAGGCGCGTTGGCCGATGCAGTGTTTGGGGGTGGTGTGGAGGGTGTAGATCTTGGTGTTGGTGTTGTTGTTGCTCAGTGGGGCGAGGATGTTCTTCAGTGGTGGTTCGTGGGTGGGGGCGCGGAGGGCGCGGAGGGTTGTGTAGTCTTGTCTGTATTCATTCTATATTAGTATGTTGTAGATGGTGGTGGTGGTGGTGGTGAGTATAGATGTATGTAGGGAGAGAGTGGGGGTGTATATTGAAGGATGGGGGGTGGGGGCGATGAATACCCAGATGGAGGGAGGTATTGACGGGGATCATCACAGATGGGACATGGAGTTGGCGGCGTGGGAGTTGAGAACTGGGTGCCGCAGGTGGTGCAGATGGGGAGGTCGAGGGGGTCAATATCCTTATCACTAGTCATGGTGGAAGCACTAATAATCTTCTTCTGTGGTTATTTGGCAAATGTTCGAGATACAGTGTAGAGATACTAGTCAACTGGGAGATCTTTTCTGCTTAAATGGGAATCAAACATCAGCTGTTCTCCGCATTGACCCCGCATGTACTGGAGCCATGGATCGCCGAGCTGAACCTCAGCTGAGCTGCAGCTGGACTGCACCTGAACTGATAAGCTGCAAAACCAGGGCTCTGCTTAGGCACAATGATGTCAAGACTATCGGTATCTTAGAAAAGGTGGAAACTTTTGTATTCCAATCCATCGCATGGCATACAGCCCATCCATTATGCACTAATCGAGAAAAATATGCTGCAAGAAGGGAATCATATAGCACAGAAATGCAAAAAGAATCGGTACACAAGTAGCAATACTAGTCGACACATTCCCCCCTTCCCTCCCTTTCCGTCCATACAACCATCCATTTCATGCATGCTGGTTATCGCTGCGCGGGTCATAAGTCGTGAACATAACAAATCGTATAACAGGTTCAAGTCGAAGAAACATCACGGGAGGAGAAAAAAGAGTAACAAAATAATATGGGGTATCAAACGTCTGTCGCGTCAATAGTCAAGGTCATCATCCACCTGCTCCGGACTGGCGCGATACTGGCTTCGCTGCCGCCGCGCAGGGCTGAACTGGCTGCCCGACGTTAGGGGACGAGGCCCCGTGGGTTTCCGGGGAGGCGGCGTGCTACGGGGAGAGCGCATGATCGAACTCTACAGAGATATGGTCAGCATCATGCGAATAAAACGTCCCTTCCGGGTATGGACACTAACCCGCGAAGCAACTCGTTCCATGTACGATCGCTCATCGTCTTCCTTGACTTTGGGCGGCCGCTCCGGGATCAGTGGTCCCTCATCCTTGATCTTAGGTGGACGAGGAGGCCCCGTGCGCCGCGAGCTCGCTTCCGAGTAGCCCGCGTCCGAGATGGGTGAAAGACGACTGGCGCCGCTGTAGCGCGGGTTGGCGTTCACGCCGGACAAGCTGGGGTTGGATCCCCACTGGTCCGAAGGGGCGCCCGCTGGCACGCCATAGACTTGAGCTTGCGTCTCCAGCTGGTTTTGGTATCGCCCAGACGGGCCCTGGCGAGGCTGGGGATGGTGAAGATCGAGACTGCCCCGGTGAGCCCGGTACTTCGGCGCTTCCGATGCTTGCCCCGACGCTTGAGACGGAACCAGAGGGGACGGCGGTCGGTTCTCCTGCTGCGGGTCCTCCAGAGTGTACGTCGAGCGCAATCGGTCTTCGCCCTGAGGATCATAGTAGTCCGGTTTATATGGTCCTGGTGCAGCCTCGGATCCAGAGCGCGAGGTATCGAAAGACGCTCGCTCCTTGCTGCGGCCAGGTTGGATGCTGTTGCGGATGTTGTCTCCCATCGAAGACGCCGTGGTCTTGGACCAACGAGAGATCTTCGGGAAGAATGAAGAGCTGCTCGATTTGTGCTTCTTAGCCTTCTCCGTCGTCTTCGGCGTCGCCTCATTACTGAGGGCACCCGAAGCCATCGGCTCACGAGGAGGTGTAGACACGGGAGCGGAGCCAGCCCGGACCTGGCGGTTGTTGGCCGGCTCCTGCGAAGGCATGGTTGGACTCATGAACTCCGCCTGCTCATCTACGTCTTCATCCAGTTCGGGCACCGTACTGACACGGTTTTCCATGCCCCTCCGCAGTCCATTCCCAACGAGTGGTTCCAGAACAGGCTGAGAAGAGGTGGAAAGGTACTCCGACTGGTTTCCGGGCGATGAAGTTCCAGCATGGCCCTCCGGCTCATAGCCCTCAGGATCCACACTGGCGGCCCGGTTGCCTCCCCGCACGAACCGGTCATCCTGGCCGTAGCGTAGAGCTTCGACTTCATCCAGGAGCTGTTCCAACATATCCTCGATTCGAGTGAGGTCATTGGAGTTCTTGAGGCTCAGGCCTTTGAGTGCTCGCTTGAAAATATTCTTTCGCTTCGACCGCAGGTCATCCCCGTCGTCAATAGGCACCTGGCGAGCGCTACGCGTGCTGGCCGGCTGGGGGCGTGGCCCACCAAGAGCTCGATAGGTCCGCTCGTGCTGCCGGTCACTGGCTTCCTGAGCATCCCGTCTTGCAGGGCAATGAACTTCTTCATCTCCTCGAATGAGTTGCGCATTTCCGCGGCGCTTCGAACAAGAGTCACGAGAATTTCCGTGTCCCTGGCATTCCGTTGGGCATCGCGAACTGTGAGCTGTTCATATAAGTCAGCAGTGGTACCTTCAAGCAAGAGGACACTAGTACTCACATGGTCCATGAGTGCAACAATGTCCTTGGACTGAATCCGGTCAATCCCTTTCCCAGTTGCACTGTCATACAGAGGTGAGCCAACTCCTTGAGAGTAGCCACTCAATTGCCGCTGGTGACCAGGCATAAAGTGGTCTTCCCCTCCGAGGGGACTGTCAAACAGACCCATTCCATTTGTATCGATTCCAGCAATACCCTTGCTTAGTGGCTCAGGGGTCTCAACACTCGGGGAGCGAGGGTTCGCGGCGGAGACATAACCTTCGTCTTTGGCACCAAGCGGGGTGCCGAGCATCTGGCCTCCGTGGTACTGCTGATCATAGTAGTCGTTCGCACCGTAGTCGTCCTCCGGGTAGTAGTCCTGGCCATAGTGGGAGGGCTCAACTGACCCCAAACCCAAGCCAGCACCGGCGCCAGCTCCAGACTTATCAAAGAGGGGAGAAGGAGCGTCTTTGGAAGGGGTGCGGTTAAATGACCAGCTGTTTTCGTGGGCCGCGGGTCCTTGAATGATGGAAGGATTGGTATTGATTTCTGATTCTGAATCAGGGCTGCGGTCGTCTTCATGTGGCATTGGGCTGCTGTCGAGGTCGCCAGCAAACAAAGGAGCTGGTTCGTTCTGGTAGTGGTCGTCCAGCGACTGAGTGACGCTCTGGGGCGGCGACGTAGCACCCATGCGTCTAGGGAATGAGGTCGCGTCGGGGCTGGAAACATCCTCGCGCTGCTTTAGAGGGCTTCCTCGGCGAGATTCGTGCTCTGCCTGCTCATGCTGCTCCGACTGCTCCAGAGGCTCTGGCTCCCACTCTTCTTCCTCTTGCTCCGGAATACCAGCCATTGAACGATTCGGTCCGGACTGGCTGGACTTGGTATCCAGGATCGTAGGTTCGAGGACAGAGGCCACCGCCGATTCGACAGCCATCGGATGTACGAATTGGGGGTTGGCAGCAAGGCCTTCAGCTACCGGTCGGCCGTGATCTTCCTGGTCGTGGTGATCAAGCTCGCTGTCATCGGTGTACCCGGTCATGCGTTTACCCACGGTGCTCTGAGTCTCAGTCTCTGCTAGCGAATGCTGATCTTCATCATCGTCGGAACAGTCCTCCCAGTGTCTTTCCTCTCGGGGAGACGGCCGGGGGGTCTCCTCGTAGCCGAGCTCGGGGCCAGGTTCCTGTTGACGGCGTAGGGACTCCGTCTGGCTCGTGATGCTGAGGCCTTCTGGGCGGGTAGATCGTGCAAAATCCGTACTGGGCGCAGACGAAAGAGAGTCAATCGAGAGACGCGGCTCCAATTCTCGTTCATCTTCGGAGTAATCGTACCTATCATAATGGGTCAAGTCCTGCTTGACCGGAGATTGGCTCTCATTGCTGGCCACGCTCTGTATCGGACTAAGAGTGCGCCGACGGCTCGCCAGATCACTGTAGTCGAGGTCATGGTGTTCGGAGTGGGAGTCGAGCAGATTAGCGGCGGCGGCGGCGGCAATAGCGCCCGCGGCGGCATCCCCGACGGGCGACCGACTCGAGGGGCTATGCATCGACAAGTCGTGACTGGACAAGTTGCTGTGCTTGAGCTTCAACTCATGCCGCACGTCCAGAGGCGTCCTATTTGGCGTGCGAGGTGCCGGGGAGAGAGGTGCCGGGGAGAGAGACTGGAAAGGGGAGCCGCGGAACCCTTCATGGAACTTGGTGTCTCCGTACGAAGCTGCTGGTTCGGCGGTCTGCTCGGAGAGAAGGGAGGCTCTGGTGAGGTCGGATTCAATCGCACTGCGCAGTGGCATTGGGGCGACATTGTGCTTCTGGAAGACTAGTTCGGTCTCGTTAATACTGCCGGTGCGGCTTCGGGCCCCACTGCTCTTTCTTCTTCCCTCGCTTTTCCCGAGGCTGGACCGTGAGTCGTGGTGCTGAAGGGCTGCAGCGGTTAGGGCCGTCCCCACGAGTGCCGCCTTTTCTGCATCACGCAGTCCTTTGCTCTTTTGTCGACGGAGCTTTTCTTGCTCGGTCAACTCGGGCCGGTTAGCCCATCTGATGTAACCGAGATCCTGACTTCTTTCGCTTCTGCCAGGCTTCTTTCGCTGTCTTTGCTGGATCTCCGTTCTTTTTGGGACGGGACGGAGTCGCCGGACAGGACGATGCCTTCATCACGACTATCCTTATTCAGGACGACCTTGGGCTTCCGAACGTCAGGGGCACTTGCGTGTTTGGAGAGTCGTCTGCCGAGCTCGTCCCGAGAGGGCGTGCTGGCTGATGAATGTGAGGTGTTCATGTCGCGCTCAAACTTGGACGTGTTGGTGATGACTTTCTGGTCCTTCTTAAGTTCCTTCAGCTCAGGCAGGATGAGTCTTCGGATCGCGTCTTCAACCGTCTCAAGAAGCTTGGGGTTGTTGATCGATGACTTTGAGGTGCCGGATTTGAACGAGTATTGATCACCGGATCGGCGATGCGAGGACACAGCCGAGGCGCTGAGGAGGCTGGATTCTGGACTCATCATATCGTCGGGAAGAGCCCGACGTCGAGGAGACTTGGAGTCCATTTCTTGGAGATCGCTGCCGTCTTCGAACCTACTTCTTTCGGCGCGACGGCGTTGCCTAGAGACGTCACGAGGGTCGTTACTGAGCTTCTCTGCGACTCGATGAGCAATGCGTTCGGTGCTGAGACTGCGACTACGTTGTCGCCGGGGGGTTTTGAGGTACTCCTTGGATTCACGTTCCAAGCTCTGACTGCGTTTTCGACGAGGACCAGATGAGGGGGCTTCCAGCATGCTATCCGCCGGCATCGACGAGATGTCGGAGGTTGGGTGGAAGTACCTATCGCGCGACAGGGCGGAGAGCTCACTGCCTTGGTCGCGATTCATGAGCTCGATTTCTAAGGGAGAATGGCCGGGAGGCTGGTTCTCATCGGTGGCTGAATTGGAAGAACTGTCATCAACAGCCGACTCCTCCAGCGACTTGTGCTTGTGGGGCGAGCTGAGGGAGATGCGGCGGGAATAGACGGGTTTCCGATTGCCACTCGACTCGGTGATCTGGATGTGATCTTTCTGGTCCTTGAGCTTCCGCGCGGAGGAAGGGGTGACACGGACGCGGACACTGGGGCGGGAAGTGAGGGAGCCAGAACCCTTCCCGCCCTCGAAATACTCGATGAGCAGGGAGGTCTGGGAGTGCTGCGACGAGCGGGACAGTTTGGAGTCGTCCCCGCGGGAGCGATGTTTCCGACGAGTGGGGATGGTGACGGGGCTCCCGTCGTCAGGAATGGAGTATGAGGTCTTGTCTGTGCGGCGAGATATGTCAGTTGCCA